TTCCCGCTGGACCTCGGTTCTTGGGGCAGGACGTTGTCAGGCCCTTTTCACGCGGGAACCAGTTCGCTTTTTCAAGTGCCCGCATTATGGCCCCCTGGGTGCACTGCCCCAAACAGATTTAATCTGCGGTGTCTGCAGCCAGCACCCCCCTCCCGGGGAAATTGCTTCCCAAGCGGGAAAAATTTGCATCGCCACCCCCCAAACATTCCCCAAACTGAAGGAGAAAAAACCCCACCAGCCGGGAAACCTCGATGCCCCGAGGGCTCCCCAAAATTTTAAAAAAGTTGGAAGATCCCAAAAAATGGGGAAAAGGCTACAAACGGATCATCACTCTCGCAAATGGGGGTGCGGGAAAAACCCTGCCTACCGCGGCTTCGGGCAGCAAACCCAAAAGTAAATCCCAGGTTTTTCCCAACCCTCAAAAGCCTAAACCAGGGTAAAGGGTCAAAAAACCTCCTGCCCCCCTTACCCAACGGAAAAGAAACAAGGGGGAACAGGGGGCGTAAAACAGGGTGCTTTGGGGCAATGGATCGCAGGCGGCACAAAACGAGCCCCACTGCCTTTGACGACAACGCAGGCACTCCTTCCCCGGCTCAGGCGCTTTGCAGATTTAAACTGGCACCTCCCCAGCAGACCCCGGCTCCCCCAACCCTGGTTACAAAAAAGACCACGGTGCTACAATAAGAAATAAAACCCAGCGGGGTCCCTCCCAGACCCAAAACCCCAGTTTAAAAATCCACTGCTTCAAACCCAAACCCCCAAAAAGCAGGCCCTCCCCAGGGAGGATTCGGCACTCTCAAGGTTTTCCCAGGGTTTTTTATTTCCCAACACAATCAACTCCAGGGAACAACAGGCAATTCTGGCAGAGGGTCGTACGCTCCTGAGAGTGTGCCTTCTGACCGAAGAGGAGACAGTGGATGCCATGAGTTTGCAGGTTTTTCGAGCGGAAGGACCGGTCTCCAGCTCAGGAAACAACAGCGATGGAATAACTGGGGCCCAAATCACACCCCAAGGCCCTACAAGGAACATTCGGGGCCTGAGGGGCAAACACCCACCTCTTGCTGGGAAGCTTTAAATTTGGGGATCGGGTTTGCATGTTTTGTTTCAAAAAACCCCTGAACTGTCCCCAATGTCCCCAAAGACTACCCGGGTTTTGCTGGGTTTTTCGGCACATGGCCCGGGCTTTCACGGCAGAGGCCCACAGCGGGGATTTTTCCCCAATACAATACCTCCGGGGTTATACCCAAACCCTGTGGCTGTGGGGGGGGGGTCGGGGTACGGGGCCACCTTGTGCACATACCGGGGAGTCCCCATTACCATCTATAACATCTACAAGAACCCAAGACACCCCTGGCCTTTGCGGGGCCTCCTCGCATACCCGCACTGAGTGTTTATTGTGGGTGGAGTTTTTCAATGCATTTCACCAATGCTCCCACTCTCACTCAGCAACCAATGTGCTGGCGAACATTGCAAGCTCTACACGAATTCCAGAGGTAAAGTTGTAAAAATGGGACCCCAACCTTTTGGGGGTGGCTGCCTCGCCCTTTTTCCCTTCGGGTCAAGAAAAATCCCCACCCGGACCCACTTGGGAAACTCATCCTCCCCCTTGGTCGTAAACCCTTTGCAGTGATCCCCACCTTCAACATCAACGGGCCCCCCACAGTTGTGCTGCCCCCTGAGGGGAAAGAAAAGAGGGCCAACGGGAAAGGGGTTCCGGGGATTATCTTAATGACTGGTGGCCCAAATTTATCTCTATTAAAAGGGACTGGGTTTTGGGCTGAACAGGGAAATCATGTTCTCCCCGGGCGCAGAGGTGCGAAAAATTCCAAAGAAGTGCGCAGGACGAAACTAAAAAAGAGACTGGGGGTTTAAAACGATGGGTGTGAGAGCAGAACCCCCCCCACCCAACTCTTTTGAAGCTATACACGTAACCTTCGGCAGAGAACAGGTATTTTTGAGGCCTTTTTGAGCATGCCCCCAGGTCTCCGAGTTAAAAAAATGAGAAATGGCTGGGTGGTGCTCAAAAATTTTGGGGTCACACCCCTTATCTGAGTATGGGGCAAATAACATAGCAAATGGCAAGACCCAAACCGGGCCCAGCACACCCGAACCCATCCCCGGAAACTGAGGAAAATTTTGTGTCCCTTTGTGTCCATAGTAAGGGGTACATATGGTGTTGTGCTTATGAGATGCACCCGTGGAAATAAGTTTACTCTGTCTGATTTTTTGGGTTATCCCAGGTTCTCTACACTTTGCTTATGTATGATAATTCTATGTAACTGTAATTTTTGTATAACCCGAATAAACTTTTCCCTTTCCCTTTTTTTTTTTACAGTTTGGGAATGCCAGAAGGGGGTGTTGGCAGCATAAAGGTTTGCATCATTGTAGGGAACCTTTCTCCTCGGGAGCCAGAGGGGGTTTCCCCCAAAATTTTAGACCCCTGCCAAAGGAAATACGGTTTAAGACATAAGAACATAAAAGAAAGGGAAAAATGCAGAAGGGGCCCACCGGGCCTGCGAGGCAGGTCCCAAATCTCCTACCGGCTTAAGCCAATGCCCCCCAACCTAGTCAGGGGCAGGTCACCCTTTTTCTTAAGGAGGAAACACGGCAAAACCCAAACCGTAGCACAAGCTATCAGGTTTTAAAATCCACACCCCCCCACATTCCCCCCTCATGTATTTTCCAAACCCATTTTTAAAACTTCACAACGGGTTTTGGCCTCTATAAAAAGGTACTTTTGGGGTTTGTTCCACTCACCAAAAACTCTATTACCAAACCCGTACTTTCCTATACCCTTTTGAATCTGAATTTTTCCCAAATTAAAACCCTTGCTGCGAGTCCCGTCTAGGCTAGATTTTTTTAGCACACTATTTACTTCCCCCTTTTTTTATTCCGTCTTCCATTTTTTACACCTCAAACATATCCCCCCTAATTTTTACGTTTTCTAGGGGAGTGCAGATTTTGGGCCCTTAGTTATCCTTTAAGGGAGGTTTCCCGATACATGGGGTCAAAATTTGTCATCCTCCTTTGTTTCCAAATTTTTCCCGAGGGAATTTTTTATCCATTCTGTAATAAGGTGACCCCAAAACTGTGCCGCATAAACTAAAAGAGGCCTAACCAAAGGGTGTTTTAGGTTGAAGAAAAACCTGGGGGCTCCCATTTTTTATGTTCTTGTTTTGAAGCCAAGGATTCTATTAGCTTTATTGCGAAAACTTATGCCTGTTGTCTTGGTTTAAAATTACTGCTAACCAGAAAATCCTAAAAACTTTTTCGCAATCCGTAAATTAAGTCTACATTATTTAGTTTATTTGTGGGATGGTTATTGTCTGTCCAACATTTAGAAATTTGCATTTTTTATATTTAAAAATGATCTTGCCACTTTTTCCCACCAATGCATCGTTTTATTCAAATCTTCCCCGGGTGCTCGAATGTCCCCGTCAGAATGAATTGACGGCCCCATTTTTGGGGCATCGGCAAAAATTGCCGAGTCCCCTCCTTTTTTGCCCTATTCCTTTTTTCGTTTATGTAGGGTTGTGAACAGAGGGGGCCCAACATGACCCCCGTGGAAAACCGCTCGTGACACTTCCCCACTTTTGAAAAACTCCCCAAATTTTTGCAAAATCTCTTTCTGCCTATTTGTCAAAACCCTGCCCCCTTTTCCCGGAAAAAAAATTTTTCCTCCTATTCCTTTTGCTTTTTTAATTTTCCCCAATAGTCTCGATGGGGACCCTGTCAAAAGCCTTATGAAGGGCCCTAACAACAAAATCATATTTTATTACCATGGGTCTACCCCTCAAATACCTTATGAAAAAAATTTTTAAATTTTTGTAAGGCAGGAAGCCCTTTTTAAAAACCATGCTGAGAAAACGTTGATTAATTTATGCTTTTCAGGTTTGGGTACGGGAAAAGCCTCGGCCCAATTTTTGATTAAAAAATTTTTCCCCCTATGGAGGTTAGGCCCTTTTTGGTCTTTTTATTTTGAAGTAAGGACCTTTTCACTGTTTTAAAAAAAGGTATCACATTTGCCCTTTTCCCTTATCTGGGGACCATGGGCCCGTTTTTAGTGATATGTTTTTAAAGATTAGCCCAAAAGGGTGCTAACCCCCTGGGGGAATTGGACCTGCCTCGCATTGGCCCGTAGGCCTGCGCAGTGTTCCTTCCTTTTTTTTGTTTTTAAGAGCCCTCCCAGCGTAAAAGGGAAATTTCCAAGGGGAGACTTGGCGAAATTTTAATACATACACCTTTAAAATTTTCCCAAAACATACCTACATCTTTAAAATTTTCCCAACCCGGGTTGAGCCCGGGGGAGAATTGGGTGCCTGGGATAGGCCCGTAGGCCCGCTGCGTGTTCCTTCCTTTTTTGTTCTTAAAGACCCCCCAAACCCGCGTAAAGGAACTTTCCAGGGAGAAACGGGGGGTACTACAAAGTTGGGGCCTCTTCCCCCAGTACTAGTTGCTTTGACCCCGCCTTGGGCAAAAAATTTGGCAGCAAGATATTTTGGATTAAGTGAGATTAAGTATATTTAGGCACACGTACACATAAATACAGTTATCATAGTGTAAATTACCAAGGATAACCCCCCCAAAAAGTCAGAGAAAGTGACTTATTTCTGTTGGGGTCCTTGAGAAAAGTAATTGTCAATGTGTATACACTGAAATGAGTAAGTGTATTTAAGTACAGGTATACATAAGTACATTTATATATAGTAACACGTGTAAATTACCTACGATAACCCCACTCCCCACAATGGAAATAAGTCACTCGGTCTGACTTTTTTGGGTTATCCTAGGTTCTCTACACATATGCTGCTATGTATGATAATTCTATGTAACTGTATTGTGTATACCTGAATAAAAAATTTACTTACACAAAAAAAAAAAAATCAGTTACTAAAAGTAACTTATTTCTATTGTGGTCCTTGAATTTCCACACCTCCCGGTGTGTACATGTGACTTATGATGAGGACGTGGGTTTATTGGGTTGTGGAGGGTCACTAACCCTCAGGGTTAATAATCAGGATAAAATCCTACACTATTTAATTTATTAGTTACCTTTTTTAGTTAAACAAATGAGAGTGGCGGCGGCGGCGAGTGTGTGATACAACAACAACATTGTTACTCATTTTCTTGCATTTTTCTTCACATTGTGACAGGTAACATTAACAGTACACTTGTTGCAGCTGTGCCACACATCTGCTACAGTAATACATTTAAAAATAGAAGTGATTGCTGGCGTCTGACGAGATTTTGAGTGCATGTTGAGGAGCCTGGCACTTTGATCACTCTTATGTATCCCTCTTCATCACCACCTGCTCCTCCTCCTCCTCAGGGATCTAGATTCAAGGGTGTGGAACCAGGCCCTCGGGTCAAACGTAATAGATATTCTTTCCTCCATCCCTTACCCCAGTCGCTGTTTGGCTCTTGCGAGTTTAGCGCTTCCTCCCCCCCCCCTCTCTTTCAAATAATGTAGTTAGCAGTTATATTACCGTAGATATACGTGGAGGGCTCTTGGTCCAAGGAACCAGGCTTAGCCCTCCCCATCATTCACACTAGAATGCCACAGTGGAAATAGTCACTTGTCTGACTTTTTGTGTGGGGGGGGGGGTTGTTTATCCTCGGTATTTAACACTATGTATGACAATTGTACCTACGTGCAACTGTGCCTAAATAAACTTACTTCTTCCTCCAGATTCTCTCTCTCTACCCTTACAGGTTTAGCGCTTCTGAATAAAACTACAAACCATACTTGCAAGTTTTATAGTTATTTAGGTTTTTTACCAACTTTTTTAAATGATGATGATGGTGTTATGACCTTATATGTACAGTAGTTTATGGTGATGAGTGTGACGTGGGTAGTTGCAGCCTCTATGGAGGTGCCAGTGCTGGTCAGCCCGGTGGCCTGGTGGCTAAAACTCCTGCTTCACACACGGAGGGCCCGGGTTCGATTTCCGGCGGGTGGAAACATTTCGACACGTTTCCTTACACCTGTTGTCCTGTTCACCTAGCAGCAAATAGGTACCTGGGTGTTAGTCGACTGGTGTGGGTCGCATCCTGGGGGACAAGATTAAGGACCCCAATGGAAATAAGTTAGACAGTCCTCGATGACGCACTGACTTTCTTGGGTTATCCTGGGTGGCTAACCCTCCGGGGTTAAAAATCCGAACGAAATCTTATCTTATCTTATCTTGATCCAAGGAATTGGAGAAACTCCTTTCCCTTTCTTAAATCAGATATAGTTGCTCCCCCAGGTGCTGAATGACCCATGTGGGTTTACCATTTTCTTATAACAATAATCTTTATTTCTGTAAACTTATCTAATGTAATTAATACAGGAATAGTTGACATACTGGCATATTTTATAGAAAGCCCCTGATTATGTAGAGCATTTCTGGCAGCGTTAAGATTAACATATAGCTAAACACATGTAACATTAAGTTAGTTTATTTGAATGATAAAGTTCACAATCTCTGATATTAACTAACACTTTGATTCATGATTATGATTTTGATTTTTTTTTATTTGTTAGACAATTGTTATAATGTTTGTAGTGGTTATGCCAGGCATTGTGATTATGGTTTGGAGAAGCAGTGACCTATGCAGTATTGCTCTTTTCTCTCTTAACTATTAATGTATTTTTTTATAATTATAGTGGTCCCTTGAGTTACGACATTAATTTGTTCCGGGAGATGTATCATACCTCAAAGCTATCTTAACTCAAACCCCAAAATACATGATTTTATGGTAGCTTAACAGTGTTGTATGATCCTTTTAGGTTTAGCGCTTGGTTATGATTATAATAGTGTGGTAACTCGTTCCAAGACCCCAAAAATGCAACTTTTTCTGTACCTTGGACTTGCATGCTCACACATATAATATGCAGATATTGTATCTCTTTTCATCTGCTTCTCACTTATCCACATTAACAGCAGTCATTCTCTGTCTCTGCTAATTTATTTGTCTTTTTTCACTATCTTAGATTCTTCAGCCACTTTAATATCCTTTGTAATGTCTCTTTGCTTGATAACATTAGAGATGGTTGGTTGTGGAAAGCCTTACTTGTGCACCAGTGCACTAATTCTAACTTCTTGCATCATGTTTTATTTTTTAAAATTTCTTATTTGATATTCAGATAAATTATCTGTTTACTATCCACTTTAGGGGCCATGTTGACTTGATAACACAAAAGATAGGGTGATTAAATATAAATGTGTATCATATTTCAAATTTTTCATTGCAACTGAAAACTAAATTCTTTTATGAGGACAAATTGTAGCTCAAAATTCTCATAACTCCACTCCATCACAACTCAAAGGACCTCTGTACCTTTACCATATTACCTCATCTTAAATGTTAACTGTAATTCTGTAATAAAGCTTAGCTTTTATTGAATCATTGTATTAAATTACTCAAATTAAATTTTTTAAAACTTACGCATTCATGCACTAAACTTCAGTATAGTTCATAGTAAGCACTGAATTATGATAGGCACACACTGCTGTTAAGTAGGAAGTTTTGACACAGGATAATCAAGACAATTGTATGGTTTATTTAAATTATATTGGCATATGGTTTTAAAATCTAAGTGTTTTGTCCTCTCAAGGGAGGTTCCTTGATCTAGGGAATTGGATATGTGCTCCAGTTCACTGAATTAAGCCTGAATACCTTCCATTACCCCCCCCTCCATCCACAGGCACTGTATAATCCTACAGGTTTAGTGCTTCCCCATTATAATAATAATAATAATGTTTTGTCCTTTATGTAAGGGACATTTTAGGTGTCATTATAATTAGTAAATTTACAGCTAAAAATATACAGAATAACCAAGAGAGACTTTAGATTTAAATACTTTCAAGTTAATGTAGGACTAGGCTAAGTCTTAATGAAATGTCACCTTTCTTTTCTGTAATGGCTCTGTAATACTCAAAATAACCTTAAATACTTCTGTACGGAGTAATGTACAGTTTACACCCAAATCAACAAAGCAAATGTAACAGTGTGGTAGTAAATTTGAACATAACATAAGAACATAAGAAAGGAGGATCACTGCAGGAGGCCTGCTGGCCCATACTAGGCAGGTCCTTTACAATTCATCCCACTAATAAAACATTTGCCCAACCCAATTTTCAATGCCACCCAAGAAATAAGCTCTGATGTGAAAGTCCCAGTGAGAGGAGCAAACTGCTAATTATGATTATCATAGCAAGTACTGTGGGTGGTTTTGAAAATAAGTTAACATAAATGTTGGTAAATGAACACACACACTTTATCGTTTCACTATTTGATTTAGACTGTGGTTCCTTCACTGGATTTTAATCAAGCTGGCAAGAAAATGTAGCTTACTTAAATATCCAAACATTGCCAGTGTGTCCATTTACCTAGAATGATTATTGGTACAGCTTAAATATATCACTCATGCTCCAATCATACATACTAACACTTGGGCATGTATATAAGAACCTGACCATTGCATTCAGTACACTGGTCTATTCTACCACCCTGATAAATGTATTCTTAAAACATTTTGATAGGCTTCTGTTAAAAACTTGGGCCCAACGTGTTGTTGATAATTTGTTGGTCAGGGTAACTCACCGGGCTCTGGTCTTAATTACTAGACAACCATCTCTGGCCCAACAGTGCAATAATACATCTATAGTATTTGCTTCCAGCTGCAGAGCAGTAGTTATTTAAAATATATACAGTACAGTACCACAAGGCACTGGACAGGCACATAAAGTCAGTACCTGACCAACCGGGCTGTTGTTTGTACGTCAGCTTGCGTGTGACCAGCAGTAACAGCCTGGTTGATCAGACCCTGATTTACCATGAGGCCTGGTCTCAGACCAAGCCGTGGGGGCGTTGACCCCCGAAACCCTCTCCAGGTAAAGTAACACAGTACTGTATGAAAATATATACATACTATATTTGAGGAACATAATCAGTCACTGGAGGGGCATTCCTTATGTTAACATTTTATAATTTACTGCACTCTAAACCCTAATAGTGAACAGTAGTGGGCATTCAGAACAAGGTCACAGACTGACTACAGTAAAATAAATATTACATAATAGTGATTTATTTGTAGCAACATTGCATGAAGGCAATCAAAGCCTGGGAAAAATTCAGAAGTGTCTACACAGGTGACTTTAATATATGTATGTATATTAATATATGTATGTATATGTATATTAATATATGTATGTATGTGTATATTAATGTATGTATATGTATATTAATATATGTGTATATTAAAGGATAGAAATAGAAGAGAACCTTTATTACTTGTGAGATGCTAGACTTGAATGCATTGCTTATGCACTAAACAATATAAAAACTGTACAATGATTAAAATAAATAAATACTGTAAACTGAAATCGATTAACTTTATTAAATACTAGACAATAGGTAGGGGAGAGAAAAATGGGTATTATTTAAATCATCATTGGTGTTCACTAGTGCGACTGCATTTTATTCCTGATACTACGTCAAATCATATACCAATAGGAGGACAAGATTTAATTTAGTTATGAGTTTCAGTACCAAATGTGATGAGCTTATAGTGTCTACAAAAGAATGTGAGGGCAGTGACAGTGGAAGGTGTTAGTTTAAGCTCAGTGGTGGAACAATCGGCCCACAGCTGAAAGGCCCAGATTCAATCCTGGACAAAGGTGAGATGCGATGCTGGGCAAGTATCCTAACTCCTACTGCCTAGTTCACCTGGCAATAATTAGGTACCTGGGTTTTATCTAACTGTCATGAGTTGGATCCTGGGGAAGAGGCCTAAAGGAATCCAATGCAAATACAGTGGACCCCCGCATACCGTTGGCATCACATAACGATTAATCCGCATACCGCTTGCTTTAATCGCAAAAATTTTGCCTCGCATACCGCTTAAAAACCCGCTCACCGCTGTTCGTCCGAGACGCGTCCAATGTGCGCCTTAGCCAGCCTCACATGTTCCGCCGATGGCATTGTTTACCAGCCAGCCTCCGCGGTAGCATCCAAGCATACAATCGTAACATTTCGTATTATTACAGTGTTTTTGGTGATTTTATCTGGAAAATAAGTGACCATGGGCCCCAAGAAAGCTTCTAGTGCCAACCCTACAGCAATAAGGGTGAGAATTACTATAGAGATGAAGAAAAAGATCATTGATAAGTATGAAAGTGGGGTGCATGTCTCCGAGCTGGCCAGGTTGTATAATAAACCCCAATCAACCATCGCTACTATTGGTGGTACAGCTGCTGCTGCTGCACTGTCAGCTGCTGCTGCTGCTGCTGTAGCATCGTCTGCTGCTGCTGTAGCATCGTCTGCTGCTGCTGTAGCATCGTCTGCTGCTGCTGTAGCACTGTCAGCTGCTGCTGCTGCTGTAGCATCGTCTGCTGCTGCTGTAGCATCGTCTGCTGCTGCTGTAGCATCGTCTGCTGCTGCTGTAGCATCATCTGCTGCTGCTGTAGCACTGTCAGCTGCTGCTGCTGCTGCTGTAGCATCGTCTGCTGCTGCTGTAGCATCGTCTGCTGCTGCTGTAGCACTGTCAGCTGCTGCTGCTGCTGTAGCATCGTCTGCTGCTGCTGTAGCATCGTCTGCTGCTGCTGTAGCACTGTCAGCTGCTGCTGCTGCTGCTGCTGTAGCATCGTCTGCTGCTGCTGTAGCATCGTCTGCTGCTGCTGTAGCATCGTCTGCTGCTGCTGTAGCATCGTCTGCTGCTGCTGTAGCACTGTTGTTGGTGTGGCTTATTGAGAATATACCAAGAAACAATTAACCCCAGAGGATTTGCCACCCAGGATAACCCAAAAAAGTCAGTGTCATCGAAGACTGTCTAACTTATTTCCATTGGGGTCCTTAATCTTGTCTCCCAGGATGCAACCCACACCAGTCGACTAACACCCAGGTGAACAGGGAAAAATGCCTGGAACTAGTGCTCATATTGGTGAATTTAAAGCCAGCAAAGGTTGGTTTGAGAGATTTAAGAATCGTAGTGACATACACAGTGTGATAAGGCCTGTTCTGGAAGAAAATGCCAAACAGGACCTACAGTACTCAGGAGGAAAAGGCACTCCCAGGACACAGTGTCTCATCAGTCATTGCTGCATCTTCAATAAAGGTAAGTGTCATTTATTCTTCATTTAGTAGACTAGTACATGCACAATATATACTGTGCATGTACTACTCTACTATTGTGCATGTATCCTTCTCTTTGTGTGTAGGAAAATGTATATTTCACGTGGTAAAATTTTTTTTTTTCATACTTTTGGGTGTCTTGCACGGATTAATTTGATTTCCATTATTTCTTATGGGGAAAATTCATTCGCATACCGATTATTTCGCATACCAATGAGCCCTCTTGCACGGATTAAAATCGGTATGCGGGGGTCCACTGTACTGGGCTCAACACAAATGTCAAATAAATGCTTTTATTTTTGTCTTTATACAGTAAAGTATATTTTTGTTTTTGCAATTGACCATTTTACTTTGTCAACAGAATAAATCAACACCTGACACCATGACTGAGAAGGTGAAACGAAAAGAAGGTGGTCCCTCAGCCAAACGAATGAAGGCTGGTGGTAGGGTAAGTATTATACAAATGATAAAAAAAAAAAACAGTTTTCCCCACCTAAAATTTTTATATAATTTTCAAAATTTGTAACTTAAACCTGCAAGCATTTAAATACAGGTAAACCTCATTATATGTAGCTCCTTTATACAGTGATACTGTTGAATTGAGGAAAACATTTTTTTTATGTAATCTTGGATTTAGGGCACTACATGACAAATGTTAAAAATTCACCGCAGTAGGCATTGCAAAACATGACCCAAGCAAAGAATACAGCTCTAGATTAATTGGGAGTTGCATAATACTTTCTGCGGTGGCCATATGACCAGCTCATGTGTTGCACACGTCAGTGGAAGAGAGAGAGAGAGGCAGCAGAGTGCTGCACCTTATGCTAGGAAGCGAGAGTACTGATTGTGGCTCCCAGCATCATGCAAGCACAAGAGACAAGTCAAATAAATCACGAAATCATAATGACACTATTGCAAACAAACCACTGTATGGGCACGTTAGCCACTGGCTAATATGCCGGTCTGGAGTTTTAAGACTCGCTAGCCGCGAGTTCAATTCACGCCCATACCATGGTTTGACAAATCAAATGTTAAATAACTTATATTTTCAAAAGTAAAGAGGCATAGCATATGAAAACCTTTCACTAGCAATATTGCAGCATCACTGCTGTCTGGGAGTTGAATATTGTAAAGCCCATACCATTTCTTGATAAAATGTGAAAGTTTATAATGAATACAGTCAAACCCCAAAATTCACGGATAGCCGAATTTATTTACATTATTCTTGGTCCTCTAGGATTTTGTTCAAAATTTGTGCACCTTTTTCTTATTAATATGAGTATTAAGCATTTTAAAGCAAAATTTAAAGAGATGACAGAAATAATTGAATAATTGTCACATAGGTAGTAGGTTGGTAGACAGCAACCACCCAGGGAAGTACTACCGTCCTGCCAGATGACTGTGAAACAAAAACCTGTAACTGTTTTGCATGATGGTAGGATTGCTGGTTTCTTTTTCTGTCTCATAAACATGCTAAGATAACAGGGATATCTTGCTACTCCTACTTACACTTTGGTCACACTTCACAGACACGCACATGCATATATATATATACATACATCTAGGTTTTTCTCCTTTTTCTAAATAGCTCTTGTTCTTTTTTATTTCTTCTATTGTCCATGGGGAAGTGGAAAAGAATCTTTCCTCCGTAAGCCATGCGTGTCGTATGAGGCGACTAAAATGCCGGGAGCAATGGGCTAGTAACCCCTTCTCCTGTATACAATTACTAAAAAAGAGAAGAAGAAAAACTTTATAAAACTGGGTTGCTTAAATGTGCGTGGATGTAGTGCGGATGACAAGAAACAGATGATTGCTGATGTTATGAATGAAAAGAAGTTGGATGTCCTGGCCCTAAGCGAAACAAAGCTGAAGGGGGTAGGAGAGTTTCAGTGGGGGGAAATAAATGGGATTAAATCTGGAGTATCTGAGAGAGTTAGAGCAAAGGAAGGGTAGCAGTAATGTTAAATGATCAGTTATGGAAGGAGAAAAGAGAATATGAATGTGTAAATTCAAGAATTATGTGGATTAAAGTAAAGGTTGGATGCGAGAAGTGGGTCATAATAAGCGTGTATGCACCTGGAGAAGAGAGGAATGCAGAGGAGAGAGAGAGATTTTGGGAGATGTTAAGTGAATGTATAGGAGCCTTTGAACCAAGTGAGAGAGTAATTGTGGTAGGGGACTTGAATGCTAAAGTAGGAGAAACTTTTAGAGAGGGTGTGGTAGGTAAGTTTGGGGTGCCAGGTGTAAATGATAATGGAGCCCTTTGATTGAACTTTGTATAGAAAGGGGTTTAGTTATAGGTAATACATATTTTAAGAAAAAGAGGATAAATAAGTATACACGATATGATGTAGGGCGAAATGACAGTAGTTTGTTGGATTATGTATTGGTAGATAAAAGACTGTTGAGTAGACTTCAGGATGTACATGTTTATAGAGGGGCCACAGATATATCAGATCACTTTCTAGTTGTAGCTACACTGAGAGTAAAAGGTAGATGGGATACAAGGAGAATAGAAGCATCAGGGAAGAGAGAGGTGAAGGTTTATAAACTAAAAGAGGAGGCAGTTAGGGTAAGATATAAACAGCTATTGGAGGATAGATGGGCTAATGAGAGCATAGGCAATGGGGTCGAAGAGGTATGGGGTAGGTTTAAAAATGTAGTGTTAGAGTGTTCAGCAGAAGTTTGTGGTTACAGGAAAGTGGGTGCAGGAGGGAAGAGGAGCGATTGGTGGAATGATGATGTAAAGAGAGTAGTAAGGGAGAAAAAGTTAGCATATGAGAAGTTTTTACAAAGTAGAAGTGATGCAAGGAGGGAAGAGTATATGGAGAAAAAGAGAGAAGTTAAGAGAGTGGTGAAGCAATGTAAAAAGAGAGCAAATGAGAGAGTGGGTGAGATGTTATCAACAAATTTTGTTGAAAATAAGAAAAAGTTTTGGAGTGAGATTAACAAGTTAAGAAAGCCTAGAGAACAAATGGATTTGTCAGTTAAAAATAGGAGAGGAGAGTTATTAAATGGAGAGTTAGAGGTATTGGGAAGATGGAAGGAATATTTTGAGGAATTGTTAAATGTTGATGAAGATAGGGAAGCTGTGATTTCGTGTATAGGGCAAGGAGGAATAACATCTTGTAGGAGTGAGGAAGAGCCAGTTGTGAGTGTGGGGAAGTTCGTGAGGCAGTAGGTAAAATGAAAGGGGGTAAGGCAGCCGGGATTGATGGGATAAAGATAGAAATGTTAAAAGCAGGTGGGATATAGTTTTGGAGTGGTTGGTGCAATTATTTAATAAATGTATGGAAGAAGGTAAGGTACCTAGGGATTGGCAGAGAGCATGCATAGTTCCTTTGTATAAAGGCAAAGGGGATAAAAGAGAGTGCAAAAATTATAGGGGATAAGTCTGTTGAGTGTACCTGGTAAAGTGTATGGTAGAGTTATAATTGAAAGAATTAAGAGTAAGACGGAGAATAGGATAGCAGATGAACAAGGAGGCTTTAGGAAAGGTAGGGGGTGTGTGGACCAGGTGTTTACAGTGAAACATATAAGTGAACAGTATTTAGATAAGGCTAAAGAGGTCTTTGTGGCATTTATGGATTTGGAAAAGGCGTATGACAGGGTGGATAGGGGGGCAATGTGGCAGATGTTGCAAGTGTATGGTGTAGGAGGTAGGTTACTGAAAGCAGTGAAGAGTTTTTACGAGGATAGTGAGGCTCAAGTTAGAGTATGTAGGAAAGAGGGAAATTTTTTCCCAGTAAAAGTAGGCCTTAGACAAGGATGTGTGATGTCACCGTGGTTGTTTAATATATTTATAGATGGGGTTGTAAGAGAAGTAAATGCGAGGGTCTTGGCAAGAGGCGTGGAGTTAAAAGATAAAGAATCACACACAAAGTGGGAGTTGTCACAGCTGCTCTTTGCTGATGACACTGTGCTCTTGGGAGATTCTGAAGAGAAGTTGCAGAGATTGGTGGATGAATTTGGTAGGGTGTGCAAAAGAAGAAAATTAAAGGTGAATACAGGAAAGAGTAAGGTTATGAGGATAACAAAAAGATTAGGTGATGAAAGATTGAATATCAGATTGGAGGGAGAGAGTATGGAGGAGGTGAACGTATTCAGATATTTGGGAGTGGACGTGTCAGCAGATGGTCTATGAAAGATGAGGTGAATCATAGAATTGATGAGGGAAAAAGAGTGAGTGGTGCACTTAGGAGTCTGTGGAGACAAAGAACTTTGTCCTTGGAGGCAAAGAGGGGAATGTATGAGAGTATAGTTTTACCAACGCTCTTATATGGGTGTGAAGCGTGGGTGATGAATGTTGCAGCGAGGAGAAGGCTGGAGGCAGTGGAGATGTCATGTCTGAGGGCAATGTGTGGTGTGAATATAATGCAGAGAATTCGTAGTTTGGAAGTTAGGAGGAGGTGCGGGATTACCAAAACTGTTGTCCAGAGGGCTGAGGAAGGGTTGTTGAGGTGGTTCGGACATGTAGAGAGAATGGAGCGAAACAGAATGACTTCAAGAGTGTATCAGTCTGTAGTGGAAGGAAGGCGGGGTAGGGGTCGGCCTAGGAAGGGTTGGAGGGAGGGGGTAAAGGAGGTTTTGTGTGCGAGGGGCTTGGACTTCCAGCAGGCATGCGTGAGCGTGTTTGATAGGAGTGAATGGAGACAAATGGTTTTTAATACTTGACGTGCTGTTGGAGTGTGAGCAAAGTAACATTTATGAAGGGATTCAGGGAAACCGGCAGGCCGGACTTGAGTCCTGGAGATGGGAAGTACAGTGCCTGCACTCTGAAGGAGGGGTGTTAATGTTGCAGTTTAAAAACTGTAGTGTAAAGCACCCTTCTGGCAAGACAGTGATGGAGTGAATGATGGTGAAAGTTTTTCTTTTTCGGGCCACCCTGCCTTGGTGGGAATCGGCCGGTGTGATAATAAAAAAAAAATAATGTAATTTTTTATTATCTGCGACTTTAGGATTCACATCACCTCCAGAAACCTAGCACACATGAATTACAAGGTTCATCTGTACAATAGCTTAAAGAATATAACTCATTATAAAGCATATTGCACAAGTAGTAGTAGTAGTAGTAGTAGTAGGTTCACTGGTGTAGTCCCGACCCAGGTCTTTTCCCTATGAGAGATTAGCATCTTATCTGGAGGAAGGAAGTACTGTACATTACATTGTCAGTATCTTGTTGGACTGCACACAGCTTGCTGCTTATTAAATCTTTTAGCGTTCTTACAGTACATAGCCATTTTTTCTGGATTGTATCCAAATTACATAATGGGAGTCTGGGAACATGTGATTTTCCATATGATGATTTACATTACAACAGGTTTTTCTTAACTGCCTCACTGTCATACGTTTTTTCTTGACTGCATCTCTGTTGTATAATAAGGACTAAAGTACCTGTATAGTTCTCTGCCCTTCTTGCATGAACATAAACTGTTACTTTTTCAGTTGATAAAATGGAATTTTTATCTCTAGTGGTTAAACTGAGAATAATCCACAGGGTGTGCCATTACGGAAAATTGATTACAAATTTGACCCGAGTTACCAGTTTAGCGAAGCCCCAGTGGAGAAGATTGACCAGCCTCCTGATTTTCAGCCACAGTACTTTTTGCGGACACACTCTAAGAACAATGACCCAGCTGATGTACAGACACAAGTGAGTATTGATGTTTATCTAACAGAACTCTCTGACACAAGATTAACTATCCCTAAACCCATTCTGGTTAGTGTTTATGAAACCACTTCTCTCCAAGTGTTACTGCTCTCCCCCTGACAAGTTTCTCCATTACCTTACAAGGTATGCATGTCAAAGTAACTGGTCTGTAGTTTAATGCCTCTTCTCTGTCTCCTTTCTTAAATATAAGGACTACACTTGCTGTCTTCCGGATCTCTGGTAACTGTTCTGTATCCATTGGCTTACTGTAAATCATAACTAGTGATTTAGACAATGCACCCTTTTGCAGAATCCATGATGTATTTTATTCAGGTTCATAAAAAGTTTCTTTACCTCTTCCCCTGTTGTGTACATCACTTTCAACACTTGTCAGTGCTCCCCTGTTCGTTAGTCTCTCTGGTATTGTCCCAGTTTCCACCAAGAAGACCTCTTCAAATCATTATATCAACACTTCACAAGCTTCTTTGTTGTTGTTCTTGAGCTCTCTTTAATTCCTCAGGCAAATTACCTGGTTCTTTACTGTATTTTTCTTCTAAAGTGATTTTGCCATCAAATTGTCCCTCATATGTGTGTGCATCCTAGGTAGTAGTTTGGTAGGCTGGGAGGTATTACCATCCTGCCAAGTGAGTGTAAAATGGAAACTATAATTGTTTTACATGATGGTAGGATTGCTGGTATCTTTTTTCTGTTCCATAAACATGCAAGGTTTTAGGTACGTCTGGCTACTTCTACTTACACTTACGTCACACTGCATATGCATAGACAAGCATATGTATATACTACACACCCCTCTGGGTTTTCCTCTACAGTGGAACCTCTACTTACGAGTTTAATCCGTTCCGTGACCTTGCTCGCATCTGGATTTGCTTCTTTGTATAGTCAGTTTTCCTCATTTAAATTAATTGAATTGGAATTAATCCATCCTATTGGAATTCCAGGCACAACAAAATTCTACTTGAATATATCCCTAATATCAACTCTACAGCTTATTTATCTATCACAGTTCATCTAATGTGACATAATAAACAATATTAATAACATAGAAGCATGATATATACACTAGAATGAATGAAATATATCATTACATATTTGAGTAGTGGTAGTAGAGGCGGCAGCACAGCGGCCATTGTTCCTGCTCCTGACTACATACTTTCCCATCCTTTTATTTTAACAGATATTGGAGTGTTTGTAAAGCAGACTCCGTTAGATCACTTCATAGTTTCTTAAGGAAAACAATAATAATAAAATAATACGTAATAAATAATAATACAGCATTTACCTTGGAGAAGAGATGCTGGCGAGGGTTGATGAGGGAGAAGAGATGCTGGGCACAGCTGCGTATGTTGTCAGGAGTTCATTTCATTTCGTCCTTTTTCTATCGCTTAATCGCCACACTCTGAATGCTACAGTCTTAGTTTGTATTTATCAACAATTTCCTGCTTTAATTCCATGGAAATCATCCTATTTTTCTTCTAAGCACTGTCCTTTGCACTTGCTTTCTTAGGACCCATGGTTAGAAACAAGAAATTCTGCAAAATAACTGCTCGAAACGTGAGCAAATCACAAGAATTATCTCCACTGCCAGTTGAAGCATCCATTGACTGAGTGTTGATTTCATTCACGTAATGCCTCTCGTGGTGGTGTTCTCAAACTCACTTATACGTAGTATTATTATAGTATTATTTATTAGTATCAGTAGGTAAGTATTATTGTAATTTATATTATTATGTTATGTATATTATTATATAATTATTGTATACATATTATTATTACTTGACGTGCTGTTGGAGTGTGAGCAAAGTAACATTTATGAAGGGATTCAGGGAAACCGGCAGGCCGGACTTGAGTCCTGGAGATGGGAAGTACAGTGCCTGCACTCTGAAGGAGGGGTGTTAATGTTGCAGTTTAAAAACTGTAGTGTAAAGCACCCTTCTGGCAAGACAGTGATGGAGTGAATGATGGTGAAAGTTTTTCTTTTTCGGGCCACCCTGCCTTGGTGGGAATCGGCCGGTGTGATAATAAAAAAAAAAAAAATATTATTATTGTTATAATAATACTCTTGCTTACCATTTGGAATTTTTATTCACACAAAAAATAGAAGATTTACTGTTATGCAGACTTCTGCATTATTGTAATAATTGTATAAATACAGTGGACCCTCGCCTAACGCTATTAATCCGTTCCTGAGAGCTCAATGTTAGGTGAAATTATCGTTAGGCGAATTAATTTTCTCCATAAGAAATAATGGAAATCAAATTAATCCGTTCCTGGCACCCCAAAGTATGAACAAAAAAAAATTTTACCACATGAAATATTAATTTTAATACACACAAACTGAAGAAGACATGCACTTATACATGACACTTACCTTTATTGAAGATCTGGTGATGATTGATGGGATAGGAGGAGGGAAGAGTGTTGATGGTGTTAGTGTTTAGAAGGGGAATCCCCTTCCATTAGGACTTGAGGTGGCAAGTCCTTTTCCGGGGTTACTTCCCTTCTTCTTTTAATGCCACTAGGACCAGCTTGAGAGTCACTGGACCTCTGTCGTACAACATATCTGTCCATAGAGGCCTGTATCTCCCGTTCCTTTATGACATTCCTAAAGTGTTTCACAACATTGTCAGTGTACAGGTTGCCAACATGGCTTGCAATAGCTGTGTGAGGGTGATTTTCATCAAAAAAGGTTTGCACTTTAAGCCACATTGCACACATTTCCTTAATCTTTGAAGTAGGCAACTTCCTCAATTTCTCTATCCCCTCCTCCGAAGCAGTTTCCTCAGGTGCGGCCTCTTGTTGTTGAAGATGATCTAGCAGCTCATCAGTGGTTAGTTCTTCATTGTCCTACTCCTCCAACTCTTCCACATCCTTCCCACTAACCTCCAACCCCAAGGACTTCCCCAATGCCACAGTGGATTCCTCAACTGGCATAGGATTCCCAGGGTTAACCTCAAACCCTTTAAAATCCCTTTTGTCTACACATTCTGGCCACAGTTTCTTTCAAGCAGAGTTCAAGGTCCTCTTAGTCACTTCCTCCCAAGCCTTACCTATAATGTTTACACAATTGAGGATGCTAAAGTGATCTCTCCAAAACTCTCTTAGAGTCAATTGAGTTTCTGAGGTCACTACAAAGCACCTTTCAAACATAGCTTTTGTGTACAGTTTCTTGAAGTTGGAAATGACCACCTGGTCCATGGGCTGCAGGAGAGGAGTGGTATTAGGAGGCAAAAACTTGACCTTAATGAAGCTCATTTTCACAGAAAGTCGCTCTGCCACGTCTGAAGGATGACTAGGAGCATTGTCTAATACCAGGAGGCACTTAAGGTCTAATTTCTTGTCAATTAGGTAATTTTTCACAGTGGGGGCAAATGCATGGTGTAACCAGTCATAGAAAAAGTCCCTAGTGACCCATGCCTTACTGTTTCCCCTCTACAGCACAAACAAATTAGCCTTGAGGACATTGTTTTTTCTGAACACACTGTGAGTTTCAGAGTGATACACCAATAAAGGCTTCACTTTGCAATCACCACTAGCATTGGCACACATCAACAGAGTAAGCCTGTCTTTCATAGGCTTATGTCCTGGGAGTGCCCTTTCCTCCTGAGTAATGTACGTCTTGTTTGGCATTTTCTTCCAAAACAGGCCTGTTTCGCCACAATTAAACACTTGTTCAGGTTTCAGTCCTTCACTGTCTATGTACTCCTTGAATTCCTGCACATATTTTTCAGCCACTTTGTGGTCCGAACTGGCAGCCTCACCATGCCTTATCACACTATGTATGCCACTACGATTCTTAAATCTCTCAAACCAACCTTTGCTGGCCTTAAATTCACTCACATCATCACTAGTTGCAGGCATTTTTCTAATTAAATCGTCATGCAACATCCTAGCCTTTTCACATATGATCGCTTGAGTTTGCTATCTCCTCCTATCTGTTTTTCGTTTATCCACACCAATAACAGTCTCTCAACATCTTCTATCACTTGCGATCTCTGTTTCGAAAACAAAGTTGCACCTTTGGCAAGAACAGCTTCCTTGATTGCCGTTTTCTTGGCCACAATAGTAGCGATGGTTGATTGGGGTTTTGTATACAACCTGGCCAGCTCGGAGACACGCATTCCACTTTCATACTTAGCAATGATCTCTTTCTTCATATCCATAGTAATTCTCACTCTTTTTGCTGTAGGGTTGGTACTAGAAGCTTTCTTGGGGCCCATGGTGACTTATTTTGCAGGTGCAATCACTAAAAAGGCTGTGATAATATGAAATGTCCCGATTGTATGCTTGGAAACGACCACGGTGGCTGGCTTGTAAACACTGGCACCCAAGGAACAAGTGAGGTGGGCTCAGGCCGCACGTGGACGCGTCTCGAACAAACCGAGTTGAACGAGTTTTTTAGCGCTAGCCGAGGCAAAATTTTTGCGTTAAAATGTATCGCTAGGCGGATTTAACGTCATGCGATGCATTCGTTAGGCGAGGTTCCACTGTCAACCCATTCGTGGCTGCATAGTACACCTACTATCCGACTTACGACCTGCTCGACATACGTCCACTCGACTTACGACCGTGCATCTGGCAGCTGGGCTGGGCCGGCTGATGCACACTGCTGTACAATATTTGACAATACTCACGGCGGCAATGAGTCATGCAGGCATCATCAGTTTGAGTTACCCTGCCCTATCAGCAGTATCATACTGTATTAACTGTACTAACTGGACAGTAAATTTCACCATGGCCCCTAAGATGAAGTCTGAATCTTGCACTGGAGATTGTGGCAAGAAAGGCTCTTACTCTCGAACTTTATTTGTTTTCACTGTTGCACATAAACCTGTCTGTATCTGTCTGCCTGTATATCTGTCTGTATCTCTGTGTGTCTGTTTATCTGTCTGTCTATTAGTGTGTCTGTCTGTCTTTCTGTCTACCTGTGTGTCTGTCTGTCTACCTGTGTGTCTACCTGTGTGTCTTTGTGTCTACCTGTGTGTCTGTCTTTCTGTCTACCTGTGTGTCTTTCTGTCTACCTGTGTCTGTCTTTGTCTACCTGTGTCTTTCTGTCTACCTGTGTCTGTCTTTATGTCTACCTGTGTCTGGCTTTATGTCTACCTGTGTCTGTCTGTCTGTGTGTTTCTGTCTACCTGTGTGTCTGTCTTTGTCTGCTTGTCTGTCTCAGAGCCACTCATTAAGAGTGTACTTGGTCTTGAAGACGCCATATTAATAACGATAATAACAATAATAATCATTGAGGCACATTAAATGTGTATAAAACGTTAATATAGACATTTTGCTTAATCCATCTATGACTTTTTTTCAAAATTATATAATAAACATGTTACATAACATATAAATTAACAAATATGAGATGTTTTTCTGGTCGGCTTGACAGTGAACAGGAATCGTTCGTGTCCGGGCTTGTAACAACAACAACGTTTGTTTACATAACTCGTGAACATTCTACATTCTCATTTTCTCTCTCATTTATTCATTTAATCTTGTCTACTCACCTCTCACTCTACATTAAAACTACAGATATTTTAAGGTAAGTAATGAGTGGACACGATTATTATAACTTAATAATAATAATATTAATATTAGTACATATGTATTATTGTAATAATAATGATTATTAATATTATTATTAATTTTATGTCACTGGAGCACAGATCCACTGTATAACACTTGGTCTGGATTTTTTGGGTTATCCTAGGTAATTTATAATATGTATGATAACTTGACTTATGTGTACCAGTGAGAGAGAGAGAGATACAGAGAGAGAGATACAAAGAGACAGCCACATTCGATCAGCCAGTCAGCCAACTACATCCAGCCACCCACCCATCATCCAGCCACCCACCCGCCCATCCAGCCACCCATCCAGCCAGCCACCCACCTGGCCACCCACCTGGCTACCCACCCATCCAGCCAGCCAGCCACCCACCCAGCCAACCACAGACCTGGCCACCCACCCAGCCAGCCGGATACGTATTACACACGTTCCAGAGTTGTTTCTCTTTACTTAGGGTATAGGTTACACAACATTCTGCCAGGATGACACTACCAGTGGTATTCTCCCATTCCACTGTGTCGACAATACATAAAGATAATAGTAACATATGTTACTGTATGCGATGTAAAATTTACAGTACATATCACTACCATGTATACATTATATACAGTACATAAATAATTAAAATACAACAATAGAGGTAAATTATGGTAAAAAGAATAAAATAATGATTGTACATTACATTACAGTATTATGTAGGTAATTTATATAGGAAAGTTTTGACATTATGCCCTACCCAATATGTCGGCAATTTTCAAAGGTTCGACTTATGTCCATTTCGACTTATGACCGGTTGGTCAGAACCAAACTTGGTCGTAAGTCGGATGGTAGGTGTATTTGGAATGGCCATTTGGACAAGTATTGTTTACTCTTGAACATCGGCAAAAATTGAACATTTCTGCTACTTTGAGCTCAATTTCAGAGTATTTTTCGTCATGAAATCAATCAAAATCATATTTCTGTAATATATCTTCCATTGTATTAAATGAGACAAAAAAACGAGAATACATCCATAAAAACCATACAAAAATATACCACTAAAGGGTGGCTAATGACTGAAAAGTGAACTCTGTTATTTATGGTCCAATTTCTTTCAATTTTGGTGTATGTTAAGAAGCATCTTTAGATCATACATTGCCCAAGTTTCAATAAGATAGTCCAACAAACACATGAGATCCAATTCCCTAGATCAAGAGCAAGAACTCACCAGTGTCAAGGAACCTCCTTTGAGGCCCGGTCGCATCTGGAAATTTCACTCGCATCTGGAAGCAAAAAATCGACCAAGCAACTGCTCGTATCTAGAAAAACTCGTATGTGGGTACACTCGTAAGTAGAGGTTCCACCGTATTTTCATAATAGTTCTTGTCCTTGTTTATTTCCTCTTATCTCTATGGGGAAGTGGAACAGAATTCTTCCTCCATAAGCCACGCATGTCATAAGAGGTGACTATCATGCTGTGAGCAAGGGTCTAGTAACCCTTTCTCCTGTATGCTTTACTGAAGTTAAAAAGAGAAACTTTTGTTTTTCTTTTTGGACCACCCTGCCTTGGTGGGATATGGCTGGTTTGTTGAAAGAGAAATGTGTATACACATATGCATGCATGTTTTGTGGCTTGTCTGTTTCTTACACTTATTAGGCATGTTAGTGCACTATTACTGATTCTGAAGGAATATATTTTTTTAGACAGCCATGCTACTGTATTTCTTAATTCTGTGAATCATATATTGTATACACTTTATCAAGTATGCCCTCCTTTAATATTTTTTTCAGATATGGCAATGCTCATTTGAACCAGACCCATTAAATACTACTTCGATGACCAATGTGGTAGCAACATGTGGAGGCTCCTCCGTGTGCTTCATAAATGTCGACGATGGAGAGGTTGTGCTTAAATATAACCGCAGCACAAAAACGTAAATGTTCTTTTAATCTTGTATACACTTAAGCATTATTAAATAAATTTTATTTAGCACTCTTAATTTCAGTACAGTTGAACCTTTAAATTCATATGGATTATTTTCCAAAGGGTACATCATAAATTTAGAATCTGCAGAAAACAACTAAATTCTCTCCAACTAATATATTTTGTGCTAGATTTAGGCTCTTGGTGCTTCAGAGGACATCTCTTTTTAAATATTTTTTTTTTAATTAACACAGGCCATTTTCCATTGTTTAAACTTGGTAAGTGTTGACGTAAGAATGACTTGTCAGGTAAGAAAAAAAGATCTGGGCATGGGAAATTAACTGAATACATTAGAAGAAGATTTTGAACTAACTCCATGGGGAAGTGGAAATGAATTCTTTCTCTGTAAGCCATGCGTGTCACATGAGGTGGCTAAAATGCCAAGAGCAAGGGGCTAGTAACCCCTTCTGTGTAAATTAAATGTAAAAGGAAAAACTTTTGTTTTTTCCTTTTAGGTCTTCCTGTCTCGGTGGGATACGGTTGGTGCGTTGAGAAATTTTGAACCAAATCCTATTTTTATATTTTTCAGTTTAGTTGTGCACCAAGTGCTTGCACTCCCCAGATGAGTACAGTGGACCCACAGTTATCAGCTGTTCCGGATATCGGCCAATTCGGATTTCGGCTGCTTTTTTTGGCCGAAATTCTATCCCGGTATTCGGACATCATTTCAGAGATTGGCCGTATTGGGCATGTAATAATAATCACTTTTGGGCACATTAAATGTCTTATTTTAGGTTAATATAGACATTTTCATTAATCTATCTATGATATTTTCTTCAAAATTATATAAGAAACACATTACATAGTACAGCCTCTCCTCACTTAGCTATATACAGTGGACCCCCGCATAGCGAACTTAATCCGTGCAAGAGGGCTGGTCGTTATGCGAAATGTTCGCTATGCGAATTAATTTTCCCCATAAGAAATAATGGAAATAAAATTAATCCGTGCAAGACACCCAAAAGTATGAAAAAAAAATTTTTTTACCACAAAAAAATGTTAATTTTAGTACACACAAACTGAAAAAGGCATGCACAATTACATGACACTTACTTTTATTGAAGATCTGGTGATGATTGATGGGATGGGAGGAGGGGAGAGAGAGTGTTAGTGTTTAGAAGGGGAATCCCTTTCATTAACACTTGAGGAGGCAAGTCCTTTTCCGGGGTTACTTCCCTTCTTCTTTTAATGCCACTAGGACCAGCTTCAGAGTCACTGGACTTCTTTCTGTCCATAGAGCTCTGTACCTCCCGTTCCTTTACGATTTGTCTAAAATGGGCCATAACATTGTCATTGAAATAGTCACCAGCACGCCTTGCAACAGCTGTGTCAGGGTGATTTTCATCCATAAAGGTTTGCAGTTCAACCCACTGTGCACACATTTCCTTAATTTTTGAAGTAGGCACAATGGATTCCACAACTGGCATAGGCTTCTCAGGGTTAGCCCCAAACCCTTCAAAATCTTTCTTAATTTCCATACTAATTCTCACCCTTTTTACCACAGGGTTGGCACTAGAAGCTTTCTTGGGGCCCATGGTCACTTATTTTCAACAAACAGAACCGAAAACACTGTAATAATACGAAATATTCCGAGTGTATGCTTGAATGTTACCGCGGAGGCTAGCTGGTAAACAATGGGACAGGCGGCACATGTGAGGCTGGCTGAGGCCGCACATTGGACGCGTCTCGGACGAAGTTCGCTGAGCGGGTTTTTGTCTACTATGCGGGGCAAAATTTTAGCGATCAAAGCGTTCGCTATGCGGAATGTTCGCTATGCAAGGCGTTCGCTATGCGGGGGTCCACTGTACTTGTTTACCGATGACTTGGACTTAGGACGGGCTCTCTGAGCAGTATGCAAACGTAAATAATGTATATTTGAGCTGATTTCCTCTATTCTTTTTATTGCAATATACAATACAGTGGTGTATAAACATTTAAAAAATACCAGAAATGGTGTAAAGGTGACATTAAAACAATATCAAAGATGGTTGACACAAACCCACTATCATTATAGTATGCTCCTCATTTAGCGACAATTTCGTTTACCGACATGGTCTTAGGAATGGAACTCCGTCGTTAAGTGAAGAGAGGCTCTATATAAAAACATGCAGTGTTTATATGCGATGTATGTTTAATAATAATCACTCTTGGGCACATTAAATGTCTTATTAAAGGTTAATATAGACATTTTCATTAATCCGTCTATGATATTTTCTTCAAAATTTGATAAGAAACATGTTATGTAGCATATAGCATATAAACATGCAGTGTTTACATGCTGTCGAGTGGTGAGTACAAGCGAATCAAGGAGGAGGGAGGGAGGAGAGTGGAGGGTAAACATTACGTTTTCACTGATTCAGCGTTAGAGTTTTCTCTACCGCCCTTCATAAGCGTTTGTTTACAATTCTCGGCATGAATTATTCATTACTTCTCCCTTTGTTTATGTTGGCATCTGAAGGTAGTTGTTAGAAACTCAGTGAACATGGTATATCGATGTAATAATATTGCTATGCAGTATAATAATATGGCTGTGTAGTGTAGCCCAGGGGGGCTAAATAAGTGTACCTACATCTACCGGCTACCCACACTGAATTCCTACAAATAAACACTACTCGCCTCTCTCCCTACATTAAGACTACAAATATTTTAAGGTTAGTAATGAATGTATTGTGGCAGTATCAAAGCCCTAGATAGGGCTTTGATACCTGAAGTTCTTATAGATGGGAATTTCCAACTCTGTCCCCTCCTCGCCTTCAATATGCCAACAAGAGTCTTCAGTAAATGTATGTAATGTTCATTTATCATTAAAATTTGTTCTTTATATTTATTTCTCATTGTTTTGTGTATGTAAACTGTAGCTATTCTCTATAAAATGTATTTTTTGTTAATACTTTTGGATGTCTGAAATGGATTAATTGGATTTACATTATTTCTTATGGGAAATGTATTTGGATTTTCAGCATTTTTGGATTTAGGCCGACGTCCTGGAACGGATTACGGCCAATAACTGAGGGTCCACAGTACTGAAAAACCCACTGTTTACTGAAACTACTTATAGGAGTCTCTTCAGTGAAAAAGCAGATAACATTAACTAACAAAATTTAACTTATTATTCAGTTCAAAACCAAAATTGGTTGTTTTAAGTAAACTGATGCAATGATTATGAATCTGAGCTTGTTTATTATTTCATCACTTAAGTTTTTTAAATCTTAAGATCAGTATTTTAGCTGTTTAACATTTTAACTATGTTCATCACACTAACATGCAGGTGAAGACTGTGTCTGACATACTAGTATGCACAATTGTTCATTTCTTCAAAAATTCCAACTGTCAATATTTTTGGCCTCAGCACAAGTGTTTGCTTCTTCTACAACCTTTTCAGAAATGTTTCCTGACGCGGGTCTTAGTCAGATGATGACCCGCCATTAGAGTTTTTGGTCATCTGACCTATGCCTTCCACTGACTTACCAGTCCAGCTCTTTAAAAATTCCTCTTCTTTCAACAAACCGGCTGTATCCCACCGAGGCAGGGTGGCCTAAAAGGAAAAATGAAAGTTCTTTAAAAATTATGGTCATACAAAAAAACACTAGACCGGACAGGTCCATGTAGTGCATCATGGGTAGTACTGGTTACATATCATCAGTAAACAATGAAACCAAGACCTGTTGTTCCCTAACAGCAAACAGTGTAGAAATTAACAGAAAGATGCCTTATTCACATTTTTTTAGTGGAAAGTTATGGAATATCTTTCATGGATTAATAATTCTTAAATTATAAACTTGTGCTTCAACAGGGCAAATTCAGGAGAGAATCTCTATGCACAAGTTTGGTCAACACTTCCACTGGATGACCTTGGACTCAAGACCATGAATGTTTTAGCTGCTGGCGGTGCACGTTCTACAGTTCTCCTGATCCACCCAGAAGCCGGCGTGTGTTACCAGATGTTCAGGACAGTACCAAACAGAGCAGCAGCTGTGGTCTGTGCCCTCATCTTCCATCCCAAGAAAGCAACCTGGTTATTTTGTAAGCTCATCACACAGTTTTTTTTTTTTATCTGCTGTGAATTATTATAAGTGTAATGGTATTTGTGTTGTGTTAGTACAATATTTGTTATCAGTTCTAAGGATTATCTTCCCTATGGCCTGGTCTCAGACCAGGGCTCCTAGATTGGTTAGAAAATATTATTGGCTTAGGAACTGTTCATAATCATGTGCAAAAGTAGAGGTATATATACTGAATGTAAGTTGAAGTTTATATGATTTACCTGTCATCCTCTGTGTTCATGCGACAAGGAAAAGATCATTATTTTTATTACAGTGGACCCCCAGTATTCGATGACATTGGTATTCGATGCATTATATCGCAAAAATTTTGCCTCAGTATCCGATTGAAAACCCGGTATTCGATACGATTCGTACGAGACGTGTCCACGTGTGGCCTGAACTGCTCCGTGTGTGCTAGTGTTTACAAGCCAGCCAGTGTGCGCGCATCTAAGGATACATTCGATACATTCCATATTATCCATATTATCACTGTTTTTGGTGCTTCTTTCTGCAAAATAAGTCACCATGGGCCCCAAGAAAGCTTCTAGTGCCAACCCTTCGAGGAAAAAGGCGCTAATGACTATTGAAATGAAGAAAGAGCTAATTGCAAAGTATGAAAGTGGAGTGCGTGTGTCGGAGCTAGTCAGGTTGTATAATAAACCCCAATCAACCATCTCTACTATAGTGGCCAGGAAAACGGCAATCAAGGAAGCTGTTCTTGCAAAAGGTGCAACTGTGATTACAAAACAGCGACCGCAAGTGTTAGAAAATGTTGAGAGACTGTTATTGGTGCGGATAAATGAAAATCAGATAGCAGGAGATAGCATCTCTCAAGCGATCATTTGTGAAAAGGCTAGGCAGTTGCATGACGATTTGGTAAAGAAATTGCCTGCAACTAGTGCTGATGTGAGTGAATTTAAGGCCAGCAAAGGTTGGTTTGAAAGATTTAAGAATCGTAGTGGCATACATAGTGTGATTAGGCATGGTGAGGCTGCCAGTTATGCTGTGCGACAGAGGTCCAGTGACTCTCAAGCTGGTCCTAGTGGCATTAAAAGAAGAAGGGAAGTAACCCCGGAAAAGGACTTGCTACCTCAAGTCCTAATGGAAGGGGATTCCCCTTCTAAACACTAACACCTCTTCCCTCCTCCCATCCCATCAATCATCACCAGATCTTCATTAAAGGTAAGTGTCAATTATTTTATTGTTATTGTAATTATTCTATTGCATTAAACTTAATATTTCATGTAGTACATTTTTTTTCATACTTTTGGGTGTCTTGCACGGATTAATTTGATTTCCATTATTTCTTATGAGGAAAATTGATTTGGTTTTCAATATTTTCGGTATTCGATGAGCTCTCAGGAATGGATTAATATCGAATACCGGGGGTCCACTGTATTAGTAGTATAGTAATTTTTTTTTTTTTTTTAACAAGTCGGCCGTCTCCCACCGAGGCAGGGTGACCCAAAGAGAAAGAAAATCCCCAAAAAGAAAATACTTTCATCATCATTCAACACTTTCACCTCACTCACACATAATCACTGTTTTTGCAGAGGTGCTCAGAACACAACAGTTTAGAAGCATATACGTAAAAAGATACACAGCATATCCCTCCAAACTGCTAATATCCCGAACCCCTCCTTAGAGTGCAGCCATTGTATTTCCCATTTCCAGGACTCAAGTCCGGCTATATAAAAATAACCGGTTTCCCTGAATCCCTTCACTAAATATTACCCTGCTCACACTCCAACAGATTGTCAGGTCCCAAATACCATTCGTCTCCATTCACTCCTATCGAACACACTCATGCACGCCTGCTGGAAGTCCAAGCCTCTCGCCCACAAAACCTCCCTTACCCCTTCCTTCCAACCTTTTCGAGGATGACCCCCTACCCTGCCTTCCTTCCCCTACAGATTTATACGCTTTCCATGTCATTCTACTTTGATCCATTCTCTCTAAATGACCAAACCACCTCAACAACCCCTCTTCAGCCCTCTGACTAATACTTTTATTAACTCCACACCTCCTAATTTCCACACTCCGAATTTTCTGCATAATATTTACACCACACATTGCCCTTAGACAGGACACCTCCACTGCCTCCAACCGCCTCCTCGCTGCTACATTCACAACCCAAGCTTCACACCCATATAAGAGTGTTGGTACTACTATACTTTCATACATTCCCTTCTTTGCCTCCATAGATAACGTTTTTTGTCTCCACATATACCTCAACGCACCACTCACCTTTTCCCTCATCAATTCTGTGATTAACCTCATCCTTCATACATCCATCCACTGACGCCTCAACTCCCAAGTATCTGAAAACATTCACTTCTTCCATACTCCTCCTCCCCAGTTTGATATCCAATTTTTCTTTATCTAAATCATTTGATACCCTCATCACCTTACTCTTTTCTATGTTCACTTTCAACTTTCTACCTTTACACACACTCCCAAACTCATCCACTAACCTTTGCAATTTTTCTTTAGAATCTCCCATAAGCACAGTATCATCAGCAAAAAGCAACTGTGTCAATTCCCATTTTGTATTTGATTCCCATAATTTAATCCCACCCCTCTCACTCTAGTAAATATACACAATAAATCCCAAGGGACAATCAGCAATCCTGCCAGAATGCAAAAAATTGCTGATTTTTTTTTTTGCTATGTGATGTAGAGTGCAAAAAAATTAATAGATTTCCATTTCACACTTGCTTGAGAGGAAGGTAGTACCTCCCTGAATGGTTGCTTTCTACCATTGTACTACCTTTTTAGTTTTCTATTTTTGTTTTATGGTTTGACCCTGTGTGTTCTTATATAGTTTCATATTTTTTTATTGCTAAAAAGCACTGAGTGATTGCTTGGGTCAAAGTGCTCTTCAAATCTCTCAGCTTCCTTCATCTGTATGTCTGTTAATTAATGGTACATGTGGAAAAAGACAGTTATGTACAGTTGAGGACATATATTAAAGGAAACTTTTTGCCATGAGTTCTGATAAATGTTCTGAAGTGTACATAGGTGTCTTTTTCCACATCTTGTTGGTATCACCATACAGTCTGTATGACCTGGTCCTAGATCAGACCTCCTAAATTGGAAAGGATATGTTACAGGCCGTCCTAACAAAAGTTGGAGAGAAGGGGTAAAGGAAGTTTTGTATGCATGGTGTTTAGACTTCAAGCAAGTGTGCATGAGCATGTAAGATATAAGCGTGTGGAGGCTAATGGTCTTTATGACGACATGCTGTTGGAGTGTGAGCAAAGTAACATTTATGAAGGGATTCAGAGAAACTGGTTAGCTGGAATTAGAATCCTGGAGGTGGGAAGTACAACGCCTGCACTGTGAAGGAGGGGTGGAGATATGTTGCAGTTATTGAACTGTAGTGTGGGCGTACCACTGGCAAGACAGTGATAGAGTGAGTGACAATGAAAGTGTTTCTTCGTTTCCTGGTCACCCTGCCTCAGTGGAAAATGGCCATGTGTTAATGATAAAAATGTTAGAGGAATAAGGATTAAAGCCTCTCCTCACTTAGCGACGTACGTACTTGTTTACTGACGACTCGGACTTAGGGTGGGCTCTGACCAGTATGCATACCTAAATAATGTATATTAGAGCTGATTTCCTCTATTCTGTTTATCACAATATACAATACACCACTATATAAACATTTATAAATATACTAAAAATGTTATAAATGGTGCAAAGGTGACATTAACCCTTAAACAGTCTATACGTATACGTTCTCTCACGTAGCACCCCAAATGTATATATGCGTTTCCTCTGTCATTCATTCAACATTAGCACGATATGCCTGAGTCGCCTAGACATGAGAGAATGGGTGTGTGCACTCAGTGTGTGCCATATGAAAATAATTGGGGATGTCTGAGTACCAAATGCTCTTTTTTTCTATTAAAAAAAAAAAATTTCTCAAAAATTTGGGGCGCTGCACGAGTGAACGTATATATATGTTTGGACCGTTTAAGGGTTAAAACAATATCAAAGATGGTTGACACAAGCCCGCTACCATTATAATATGCTCCTTGCTTTGCAACGAATTTGTTTACCGATGTGGTCTTAGGAACAGAACTCCATCGTTAAGTGAGGAGAGGCTGTATTGTGAAATAGGCAGTAAAGTACAGTGCTTGCAATCTAAAGGATGAGTAAGAGTGGATGTATTGCAGTTCAGAGGGTCATTTCAGTTGTGGTGACTCTCTGAACTGCAACATCTCAACCCCTCCTTCAGAGTGCAGGCACTGTATTTTCCACCTCCAGGACTAAGGTTTGGTTAATTGGTTTTCCTGAATCCCTTAACAAAATGTTACCCTGCTCACACTCCAACAACTCATCTGGTCCCCAAAACAGTTTACCTCCACTCATTCTTATCTAACATGCTTGCACACACCTGTTGGATGTCCAAAGTCCCTTGCACACAGTAGTATGTTATTAGCTGAGCACAGAAGGACAATACACATTAAATAATCCATTTTTAATAGCTTACTTCACTTTGAATATTAATACTTGTCTCATTAATGTCTCCATGGGGAAGTGGAACAGATTTCATCCTCCGTAAGCCATGCGTGTTGTAAGAGGCGACCAAAATGCCGGGAGCAAGAGGCTAGCAACCCTTTCTCCTGTATAAATTACTAAATTTAAAAAACAAAAACTTTTCATATTTAGGTCACCCTGCCTTGGTGGGATATGGCCAGTTCATTGAAAAATGTCTCATTAATGATAGCAATAATATTGTCTGATAACATTTCATCTTGAACCCCTTCAGTTGCTATACTATTTTCATACTGAAACCTGGTGTTCATTAAGGTGTTAATAAACTCTCTCTTTGTATGACTTTTACATTGTTTATTTTTGTAGGTGGTCATGAAGATGGACAAATCCAGCTGTGGGATGTAGGTACCCCTGCTTTGCCCAGCTATGAGACAACACCTGTACATTTGCTGACAATTCCTGCAGTGGCAAGAGATGTCTATAACTTGACCTTCTCCTGTAGTCACGATCTGCTCATTGCTGGCTGTGATGGTGGCCTCTTTGGATGGAAGATTGACATGAAGAAAATAGAGACCAATGACAGGTTAGGTAGTTTGTGTGTATCCCCATTAAGATTTTTGTCAGTTTCACCTTTTCTGAATTTTCTTCAAAATATTGGATTTTTTTTTTTTTTTTAAACAGATTGTCTCCCACTAAAGTAAGGTGACCTGAAAAAGAGGAAATGCTTTCACCTTTATTCATTCAACCAAGTTGACATATACTTTTCTCCACACTGCTGTCAGCTTTCCCACTAGTAGGAATAAAAATTAGTTGTATGGTAATTACATTGGGGAGTTTACATTATTTATACGGTTCTCTATGTGAATTCTGTTATTTATTACTTATACATAGATACTGCACTAACAATTGCTTGAAATTATTATAGAAGACAGCATTGCACTAAATCTAACAAACTATATTATAATTCAGAAGACATTTACCCATGATGTGAAAGGTTCTTGTATAAACTCTTAACAGGTAGGCATTCCACCCCATCCCTGGTCAACATCATAACTATCTTTCTCTATATAAAATGTTCACCTGCATTGCCAGTACCGTATAGTTAATCTTGGCTGACACTTTGGATTTCGTCATCCAAGATCCAGTAGTAAATTTAAAATAAAGAGAATTACTATCTTAATTATTAATACAGTGGACCCCTGGTTATTGGCCGGTTTTTCGGCACCCGGTTATCGGCCATTTGGGAGGCATCCATCCCTCCGGCTCGGGCCGCTTGCGAGTCAGTTTGGCTTTGTCTCTGGGTGAGTGAGGAAGCTTCTGCTCATTCATCCAAACATTTTGCTTTAATCCATTGTTTTTTTGTGGTTATTAATTGAGTACAACTGCAAAATAAGCAACCATGGGCCCAAAGAAACATATTACATAGTACAGTGGACCCCCGGTTAACGATATTTTTTCACTCCAGAAGTATGTTCAGGTGCCAGTACTGACCGAATTTGTTCCCATAAGAAATATTGTGAAGTAGATTAGTCCATTTCAGACCCCCAAACATACACGTGCAAACGCACTTACATAAATACACTTACATAATTGGTCGCATTCGGAGGTAATCGTTATGCGGGGGTCCACTGTATATGAAATCATGCAATGTTTATATGTGATGTATAGTTAATAATAATCAGTGGTACATTAAATGTTTTATTTTACGTTAATATAGACATTTTCATTAATCCATCTATTATATCTTCTTCAAAATTATGTAAGAAACACGTTACATAGCATATAAACATGCATTGTTTATTATATGCGATGTATATTTAATAATCACTCTTTGGCACATTAAATGTCTTACTTTACATTAATATAGACATTTTCATTAATCCATCTATGATATTTTCTTCAAAATTATATAAGAAACACGTTACATATCATGTAGCATATAAACATGCAATGTTTATATGTTATCGAGTGGAGAGTAAACATTACGTTGTCTCTGATGCAGCGTTAGAGAAAACTGTGAATCTGGCAGCTGGCGCAGTAACTGCCCTTCATATGCATTTGTTTACAATTCTTGGCATGAATTATTCATTACTTCTCCCTTTGTTTATGATGGCATCTAAAGGTAAATGTTAGAAACAGTTAAACTCAGTGAACATGGTAATAATATGGCCGTGTAGTGTAATAATATGGCTGTGTATTGTAATATAGCTGTTTACTGTAGCCAGGGGGGGGGGGGCTACATACGTGTACTGTACCTACATCTGCTACTACCTACAATGACTTCCTACAAATAAGTACTACTCACCTCTTGCCCTACATTAAGACTACAAATATTTTAAGGTTAGTAACGAATGTACTGTAGCAGTAAATGACAGATTAAAGAAGTGTGTTAAATGTGGACTAGGGTGCAAGCTTTGTAGAGAAACACCACCCTGACCAAGCTGAAACAAGCCATATCTGCAACATGTTCAGTGACAAAACCCTGTCCCACTTTAGGGAAATCTTAGAGAGATGCCAGAAACAGACCTCTATGGACAGATTTGTTGTGAGACAGGGGTCCAGTGACTCAAGCTGGTCCTAGTAGCATTAAAAGACAAAGAAGGGAAGTAACCTCAGAGAAGGCTTTGCTACCTAAAGTCTTTATGGAGGGGGATATCCTTTTCAAACACTAACTCCTCCCTCTTTCCTCTTCCCTATCTTCCAGAAGCCAGCATTAGCCTTCAATAAAGGTATGTAAAACTTACATAATTGTTAAAAAGAAATATTTTTTTGTGAATATTTTTGTCTGGAACAGATTAATTGTATTTCTATTAATTCATATGGGAAATATTAATTCGGTTTTCGGCCATTTCGGTTATCAGCTGACCTTCTGGAACGGATTACGGCCAATAACCGAGGGTCCACTGTAATAATAATAATAATAAAACAAAAAATTATGGAGTGAGATAAACAAGTTAAGAAAGCCTAGGGAACAAATGGATTTGTCAGTTAAAAACAGAGTAGGGGAGTTAGATGGGGAGCTGGAGGTATTGGGTAAATGGCGGGAATATTTTGAGGAACTTTTAAATGTCGACGAAGAAAGGGAGGCGGTCATTTCATGCACTGGCCAGGGAGGTATAACATCTTTTAGGAGTGAACAAGAGCAGGATGTGAGTGTGGGAGAGGTGCATGAGTCATTACGTAGAATGAAAGGGGGTAAAGCAGCAGGAACTGACAGGATCATGACAGAAATGTTAAAAGCAGGGGGGGGGGTATATAGTATTGGAGTGGTTGGTATTTTTGTTTAACCCTTAACTGTCCAAACATAGGTCTACGGTGACGTGCGTAGTGCTCCGACATTGATTTTCTCCATTTTCAAGCATGTAAAATTGGACGTAGATCTAAGTTCGGAGCACTCTGCACGCCAACATAGATCTACGTTTGGACAGTTTAAGGGTTAACAAATGTAGGGTGTGTAGAAGAGAGGGAAACTACTTCCTGGTAAAGGTGTGTAATCTTAGACAGGGATGTGTAATGTCACCATGGTTGTTTAATATATTTATAGATGGGGTTGTAAAAGAAGTTGTTGGGGAGAGGGGTGGGATTAAATTATGGGGAATCAAATACAAAATGGGAATTGACACAGTTGCTTTTTGCTGATGATACTGTGCTTATGGGAGATTCTAAAGAAAAGTTGCAATGGTTAGTGGACTAGTTTGGGAGTGTGTGTAAAGGTAGAAAGTTGAAAGTGAACATAGAAAAGAATAAGGTGATGAAGGTATCAAATGATTTAGATAAAGAAAAACTGGATATCAAATTGGAGAGGAGTATGGAAGTGAATGTTTTCAGGTATTTGGGAGTTGACGCATCAGTGGATGGATGTTTGAAGGATGAGGTTAACTATAGAATTGATGTAGGAAAAAAGGTGAGTGGTGCATTGAGGTATATGTGGAGACAAGAAACATTATCTGTGGAGGCAAAGAAGGGAATGTATGAAAGTATAGTGGTACCAACACTCTTATAGGGGTGTGAAGCTTGGGTTGTAAATGCTGCAGCGAGGAGGCGGTTGGAGGCAATGGAGATGTCCTGTCTAAGGGCAATGTGTGGTGTAAATATTATGCAGAGAATTTGGAGTGTGGAAATTAGGAGAAGGTGTGAAGTTAATAAAAGTATTAGTCAGAGGGCTGAAGAGGGGTTGTTGAGGTGGTTTGGTCATTTAGAGAGAGAATGGATCAAAGTAGAATGACATGGAGAGCGTATAAATCTGTAGGGGCAGGAAGGTGGAGTAGGGGTAGTCCTTGAAAAGGTTGGAGGGAGGGGGTAAAGAAGGTTTTGTGGGTGAGGGGGCTTGGAGTTCCAGCAAGCATGCGTGAGCATGTTAGAATAGGAGTGAATGGAGACGAATGGTATTTGGGACTTGACGATCTGTTGGAGTGTGAGCAGGGTAATATTTAGTGAAGGGATTCAGGAAAACCGGTTATGTTTATATAGCTGGACTTGATTACTGGAAATGGGAAGTACAATGCCTGCACTTTAAAGGAGGGGTATGGGATATTGGCAGTTTGGAGGGATATGTTGTGTATCTTTATACGTATATGCTTCTAAGCTGTTGTGTTCTGGGCACCTCTGCAAAAACAGTGATTATGTATGAGTGAGGTGAAAGTGTTGAATGATGAAAGTATTTTCTTTTTTGAGATTTTCTTTCTTTTTGGGTCACCCTGCCTCGGTGGGAGATGGCCGACTTGTTAAAAAAAAAAATGTATGGAAGAGGGGAAGGTACCTAGGGATTGGCAGAGAGCATGTATAGTTCCTTCATATAAAGGGAAGCGGGACAAAAAAGATTGTAAAAATTATAGGGGAACAAGTTTACTGAGTATACCAGGAAAAGTGTACGGTAGGGTTATTATTTAAAGAATTAGAGATAAGATAGAGAGTAGGATTGCAGATGAGGAAGGAGGCTTTAGAGTGGGTAGGGGATGTGTAGATCAAGTGTTTACATTGAAGCATATATGTAAACAGTATTTAGGTAAAGGTAGGGAAATTTTCATTGCATTTATGGATTTAGAAAAGGCATATGATAGAGTGGATAGAGGAGCAATGTGGCAGATGTTGCAAGTACATGGAATAGGCAGTAAGTTACTAAAAAGTTTTTATGAGGATTATGAGGCTCATGTTAGGGTGTGTAGAAGAGAGGGAGATTACTTTCCGGTAAATGTAGATCTTAGACAGGGATGTGTAATGTCACCATGGTTGTTTAATATATTTATAGATGGGGTTATAAAAGAAGTAAATGCTAGGGTGTTTGGGAGAGGGGTAGGATTAAATTATGGGGAATCAAATACAAAATGGTGTTGACACAGTTACTTTTTGCTGATGATACTGCGCTTATGGGCAATTCTAAAGAAGTTACAAAGGTTAGTGGATGAGTTTAGGAGGGTGTGTAAAGGTAGAAAGTTGAAAGTGAACATAGATAAGAGTAAGGTGATGAGGGTATCAAATGATTTACATAAAGAAAAATTGGATATCACATTGGAGAGAAGGAGTATGGAAGAAATTAATGTTTTCAGATATTTGGGAGTTGATGTGTCAGCAGATGGGTTTATGAAGGATGAGGTTAACCATAGAATTGATGAGGGAAAAAAGGTGAGTGGTGCGTTGAGGTATATGTGGAGACAAAAAAACGTTATCAATGGAGGCAAAGAAGGGAATGTATGAAAGTATAGTGGTACCAACACTCTTATATTGGTGTGAAGCTTGGGTTGTAAATGCTGCAGCGAGGAGGCGGCTGGAGGCAGTGGAGATGTCCTGTCTAAGAGCAATGTGTGGTGTAAGTATTATGCAGAGAATTCGAAAGTGTGGAAATTAGGAGGTGTGGAGTTAATAAAAGTATTAGAGGGGTTGTTGAGGTCGTTTGGTCATTTAGAGAGAATGGATCAAAGTAGAATGACATGGAGAGCGTATAAATCTGTAGAGAAAGGAAGGCGGGGTAGGGGTCATCCTTGAAAAGGTTGGAGGGGGGTAAAGGTGGTTTTGTGGGCAAGGGGCTTGGACTTCCAACAAGCGTGCATGAGCATGTTAGGCAGGAGTGAATGGAGACAAATGGTGTTTGGGACTTGACGAGCTGTTGGAGTGTGAGCAGAGTAATATTTAGTGAAGGGATTCAGGAAACCGATTATTTTTATATAGCTGGACTTGAGTTCTGGAAATGGGAAGTACAATGCCTGCCCTTTAAAGGAGGGGTTTGGGATATTGGCAGTTTGGAGGGATGTGTAATAGGACGGTATAGAGTGGGAGAGGCACTGTCAAGAAATTTTAATGAAAAGAAAAAATTTTGGAGTGAGTTAAACAAGAAAGCCTAGGGAAAGTATGGATTTGTCAGTTAAAAATAGAGTAGGGGAGTTAGTAGATTGGGAGAGGGAGGTATTAGGTAGATGGCGAGAATATTTTGAGAAACTTTTAAATGTTGAGGAAAAAAGGGAGGTGGTAATTTCATGCACTGGTCAGGGAGGTATACCATCTTTTAGGAGTGAAGAAGAGCAGAATGTAAGTGTGGGGGAGGTACGTGAGGCATTACGTAGAATGAAAGGGGGTAAAGCAGCTGGAACTGATGGGATCATGACAGAAATGTTAAAAGCAGGGGGGGGATATAGTGTTGGAGTGGTTGGTACTTTTGTTTAATAAATGTATGAAAGAGGGGAAGGTACCTAGGGATTGGCGGAGAGCATGTATAGTCCCTTTATATAAAGGGAAAGGGGACAAAAGAGATTGTAAAAATTATAGAGGAATAAGTTTATTGAGTATACCAGGAAAAGTGTATGGTAGGGTTATAATTGAAAGAATTAGAGGTAAGACAGAATGTAGGATTGCGGATGAGCAAGGAGGTTTCAGAGTGGGTAGGGGATGTGTAGATCAAGTGTTTACATTGAAGCATATATGTGAACAGTATTTAGATAAAGGTAGGGAAGTTTTTATTGCATTTATGGATTTAGAAAAGGCATATGATAGAGTGGATAGGGGAGCAATGTGGCAGATGTTGCAAGTATATGGAATAGGAGGTAAGTTACTAAATGCTGTAAAGAGTTTTTGTGAGGATAGCAAGGCTCAGGTTAGGGTGTGTAGAAGAGAGGGAGACTACTTCCCGGTAAAAGTAGGTCTTAGACAGGGATGTGTAATGTCACCATGGTTGTTTAATATATTTATAGATGGGGTTGTAAAAGAAGTAAATGCTAGGGTGTTCGGGAGAGGGGTGGGATTAAATTATGGGGAATCAAATTCAAATTGGGAATTAACACAGTTACTTTTTGCTGATGATACTGTGCTTATGGGAGGTTCTAAAGAAAAAAATGCAAAGGTTAGTGGATGAGTTTGGGAATGTGTGCAAAGGTAGAAAGTTGAAAGTGAACATAGAAAAGAGTAAGGTGATGAGGGTATCAAATGATTTAGATAAAGAAAAATTGGATATCAAATTGGGGAGGAGGAGTATGGAAGAAGCAAATGTTTTCAGATAGTACTTGGGAGTTGACGTGTCGGCGGATGGATTTATGAAGGATGAGGTTCATCATAGAATTGATGAGGGAAAAAAGGTGAGTGGTGCATTGAGGTATATGTGGAGTCAAAAAACGTTATCTATGGAGGCAAAGAAGAGAATGTATGAAAGTATAGTAGTACCAACACTCTTATATGGGTGTGAAACTTGGGTGGTAAATGCAGCAGCGAGGAGACGGTTGGAGGCAGTGGAGATGTCCTGTCTAAGGGCAATGTGTGGTGTAAATATTATGCAGAAAATTCGGAGTGTGGAAATTAGGAAAAGGTGTGGAGTTAATAAAAGTATTAGTCAGAGGGCAGAAGAGGGGTTGTTGAGGTGGTTTGGTCATTTAGAGAGAATGGATCAAAGTAGAATGACATGGAAAGCATATAAATCTATAGGGACAGGAAGGCGAGGTAGGGGTCGTCCTCGAAAGGGTTGGAGAGAGGGGGTAAAGGAGGTTTTGTGGGCAAGGGGCTTGGACTTCCAGCAAGCGTGCGTGAGCGTGTTAGATAGGAGTGAATGGAGACGAATGGTACTTGGGACCTGACGATCTGTTGGAGTGTGAGCAGGGTAATATTTAGTGAAGGGATTCGGGGAAACCGGTTATTTTCATATAGTCGGACTTGAGTCCTGGAAATGGGAAGTACAATGCCTGCACTTTAAAGGAGGGGTTTGGGATATTGGCAGTTTGGAGGGATATGTTGTGTATCTTTATACATATATGCTTCTAAACTGTTGTATTCTGAGTACCTCTGCAAAAACAGTGATTATGTGTGAGTGTGGTGAAAGTGTTGAATGATGATGAAAGCATTTTCTTTTTGGGGATTTTCTTTCTTTTTTGGGTCACCCTGCCTTGGTGGGAGACGGCCAACTTGTTGAAAAAAAAAAAATATATACACCTACCATCCGACTTGCGATCTGCTTGACATACGACCATTCGACTTACAACCGTGTTTTCTATGCCAAATTTCTGGGAAATAAACAACTGTTTGTGTTGTACAGTGTTTATCCTAAACCTTACGGTATAAAATACAGTACTAACAGCATAAAAAGTCGAGTAAAAAATGAAATACCAAAATAAAACAATAAAGTCATTACAAAAATGTGATGTTGATATTTAGTAGTAAGGTTCGACTTACGTCCATTTCGACTTATGACCGGTTTGTCGGAACTGAACTCAGCCGTAAGTCGGATGGTACCTGTAATTTGGGACCTGATATTGTATTCTATAGGGAGTTTATTATATTATTTCAGGTCACTTTTTATATTATATTTTTATACATGTATATGATTCTAAACTGTTGTAACTGAGCACCTCTGCCAAAACAGTGATTATGTATGAGTGAGGTGAAAGTTGTTGAATGATGATGAAAGTATTTTTGTTTTGGGGATTTTCTTTCTTTTTGGGTCACCCTGCCTAGGTGGGAGATGGCTGACTTGTTGAAAAAAAAAAAATACTCCATGAGCAAGTGGAGAAGACTACTTCATCTATAAGTCATACATGTCATAAGAGGTAACTAAAATACTGGGAGCAAGAGGCTAGTAACCCCTTCTTCTGTATAAATTACTAAATGTGAAAATGAAGAAAAAATTCATGTCTTCTTTTACAAGTCACCTTGTGTCAGTGGGAGACAGTCGTTGTGTTAAGAAAAAAATAATAATAATTCAGGCTAGCAAATTATAAATCTACCATATATAGGAGGAGGGTGTGATGTTGGCAGTGCAATAAGACATATACACAAAAAGAAAAAAAAGTGAAAAGCACGGGTGCCATGGGCACAAGAAGAGAACGCGATATTTGATATCTGCCAGCAGATATCAAATATTACAAGAACACTAGTAAAAGCCTTCAAGAGGAGACTCAACAAGTACTTCTGCCATGTGTTAGACCAACCAGGTAATGATTGATATGTAGACAAATGGGCCACCAGCAGGAACAGCAAAATTGACCAGGTAAGTGTGAGGCAAGTTTAGCCCGGGGCCTAGCTGCTGGTGTAGAAAAAGTAGAAATCTGTCAAAAGTAACCAAAAGTATGTTTGTATTCTTACTCTTATCCATGTGAATGAGAAGGTTTGTTAATCTTGCATTAACACAACTTATAGTCTTATTAGAATGTGAACTTTTGTCACATTATAAGAAGTGCTTGCGCTGTATAGCCCTTGTGGTTTAGCGCTTCTTTTTGATTATAATAATAATAATAAGTGCTTAATACCTACAATGATTACGTCACCCTGGGTTAAGGGAGATGGGGGAAAATGAAATCATCAAGCACACAAAAGGATATGTACATTCTTGACTATGTACCTGTGGTGCAACTGAATTCCATTAAAATGTGTGGATTGGCATTGCAGTTAGTTAAGTGATGGTAAAAATTATTGTTTTAATGCTAACCAGAATAAATTTACATTTATTGAAACCTTAATTTTTGTTTCAGATTAGAACGCACAGAATTTATGCTACCAGAAGTCGACGGGAATGGGTCAGTTTTAGACTCTGTGTGCATGCTTCGTGATGACCTGTTGGCAGCCAAGTGTGCACTTCATGGCCAGATCTACATCTTCTCTCTTGCAAGAGCACTGAAGAAAAGAACTGGAGATAAGTGAGTATCATCTTTAGAAATAAATACATATTAATATACATAATTTACATATAAATGTTTTCTGCTTCTGAACATGTCTCCTGGCTCCACATCATTATCATTAATTGCATATGTTGTTTGTTTACTGATAAATTTGGTTGGTGAATGTTTTGTTCAATGTACTACTGCTGATGGCTGCCTATTCACAATTTATTTTCAAATTGGAGATGAAAACCCAAATACAGTATTTTACAGAAACTAACTTATTGGTTTGTATAATAGATAATGCTTTGAAATACAGAATTTAGGGTTGCCACTAGAATCTTGTTTTTATTAAGAAAAATTACAAATTCCAGCTATCCATATGGACCTTTTTTATCTAGATTAACTCCTTTGTTTGGGTAATGACTACAGAAAGGAGCTATATTTTCCAGCTTGTCCTCTTAATTACTGACAGCATTTGAATGTTATAAAAGCAATCAAATGCAAATAATGGACTGATGAAGGCTCCATAAACATTCCAAATCTCACATGGTTTTATCTACTATACTCTATTAGTGTCCATTATTTGTTCGTGGCAGAACTTTTTATTACTTTTATCTTATATTTATACATTTGTAATTCTCGCATATGAGAAAGAAACTTATGACGACTTGGACCATTGACTAGTCACACAATGGTTGATTGTTTAATGGTCCTGGTTAATCAATCCCTTAGCCAGGCTGAGGGACTGATTACCTCAATCTCCTTCTTGTCTTCCACCATTCTTCTCTGCATTGGATTGAAGAAGTCACTGGTTGGCAAAATGTATCCACAGTAGAGATTCCCAAATGTTGCACAAGTATCTCATTTTTCAAGTCAAGGTAATATAACAGCTCTTAGACTGTAAAGAAAAGATTTGGAAATACCTCAGTGTCTTGTATTTTGCATTGCAGGTCTGGAATTCTCTTCGAAACACAAGTAACAGATGATTTAATGCTTAAACTGAGATGGAGCAACACTGATAATTACTACATGAACATGGGAGTTGACCCAAGTAAGTATAAGCTGATTTACTGCTTTTGAGTTAGGAAATAATATCTTTAGTTACCTTTTTCTAACAGGCATTCAGTCACTAAGGTATCTGTGTTGCACTGTTAGCTCCAAGCAATCAGTGACAATACTGGTGCTCATAATTCATAAAACCTTCAAACTTGCAATGGCCTAAAAATGATAATGGGTCTGCACACTTGGTGTGTTCAGCATACAAAAATTCCTCCCTTGCACATAGCATGATGAGAACAGCTAACCTTCCAATCTATGTTAACCATGACTTCCAGACATAAATCCTTCATTCTCCCAACAATTAATTACTTATTGCTAACACCTATGGGCACTAACAGTGAGAATAATGATTCTGATGTGGAGTTCCATGGGTTTGAGATGAATGTGATTGAAGGAAGTGGCCATGATAGCACTTCAGATATAGCAAACCCCACAGCTTGCACAAAGCTGCAGCTGTCATGAATGAACTTGTTTCCTTCCATCATATACCATGGTGCCCAGGCTTGAAGTAAAATTTTAACCATAATTATGAGAAAAATAATTCATGTGTGTTGGTCAAACTTTAAGAAGCAGTTGAAAGAGGACAAACTCAAATAGATACAACATTTATGCACATACAATGGACCCTTGGTTATTGGCCGTAATCTGTTCCAGAAGGCCAGCCTAAAAGCGAAATGGCCGATAACCAAAATAATATTTTCCATAAGAATTAATGTAAATCCAGTTGATCCGTTTCAGACACCCCAATTTTTTTTTTTTTTTTTTTTTCAACAAACCGGCCGTAAATTTCAATTACTCAGATATGGCAAACACGAGGAAATTAAATCGTCATCAGAGTACAAAACAAATTCTGGCCGCAAAATAGAGCGAAAAACCAACGTCAAAGACCTGGGAGTGATCATGTCAGAGGATCTCACCTTCAAGAACCATAACATTGTATCAATCGCATCTGCTAGAAAAATGACAGGATAGATAATGAGAACCTTCAAAACTAGGGATGCCAAGCCCATGATGACACTCTTCAGGTCACTTGTTCTATCTAGGCTGGAATATTGCTGCACACTAACAGCACCTTTCAAGGCAGGTGAAATTGCCGACCTAGAAAATGTACAGAGAACCTTCACGGCGCGCATAGCGGAGATAAAACACCTCAATTACTGGGAGCGCTTGAGGTTCCTAAACCTGTATTCCCTGGAATGTAGGCGGGAGAGATAAATGATTATATACACCTGGAAAATCCTAGAGGGACTAGTACCGAACTTGCACACGAAAATCACTCACTAAGAAAGCAAAAGACTTTGCAGACGATGCAACATCCCCCCAATGAAAAGCAGGGGTGTCACTAGCACGTTAAGAGACCATACAATAAGTGTCAGGGGCCCGAGACTGTTCAACTGCCTCCCAGCATACATAAGGGGGATTACCAACAGACCCCTGGCAGTCTTCAGGCTGGCACTGGACAAGCACCTAAAGTCGGTTCCTGACCAGCCGGGCTGTGGCTCGTACGTTGGTTTGCGTGCAGCCAACAGTAACAGCCTGGTTGATCAGGCTCTGATCCACCAGGAGGCCCGGTCACAGACCGGGCCGCGGGGGCGTTGACCCCCGGAACTCTCTCCAGGCAAACTCCAGGTATCCCACCGAGGCAGGGTGGCCCAAAAAGAAAAACAAAAGTTTCTCTTTTTAAATTTAGTAATTTATGCAGGAGAAGAGGTTACGAGCCCCTTGCTCCCGGCATTTTAGTCGCCTCTTACAACATGCATGGCTTATGGAGGAAGAATTCTGTTCCACTTCCCCATGGAGATAAGAGGAAATAAACAAGAATAAGAACTAGAAAGAAAATAGAAGAAAACCCAGAGGGGTGTGTATGTATGTGCTTGTACATGTATGTGTAGTGTGACCTAAGTGTAAGTAGAAGTAGCAAGACATACCTGAAATCTTGCATGTTCATGAGACAGAAAAACGGACACCAGCAATCCTACCATCATGTAAAACAATTACAGGCTTTTGTTTTATACTCACTTGGCAGGACGGTAGTACCTCCCTGGGTGGTTGCTGTCTACCAACCTACTACCTAGGACACCCAAAAATATTAACAAAAAAATACATTTTTCAAAGATTAACTATAGTTTTACATACAAAAAACAATGAGAACTAAATAAAAATGACTAATGAAATGGATAAATGAACATTTAAATCACTTTTACCTTTATTGAAGAATCTTGTTGGCATATGCAAAAGGGCGAGGGAGGCTTAAATATGACGTTATTATCAACTCTGTGGCTTGTTTACCTATCACACTTCACCTAATGTGACATAATAAACAATATTAATAACATAGAACCATGATATATACTCTAGAATGAATAACATGTCATTATGTATGTGGCGAATGATGGTGTGTTGTTGTTGGATTTATAAGGGCCATTGAGAGCATAAGCCGTACATATTAGTGGTAGTGGGCGGCAGTAAAGCTACCACCACCATTCACACAAACAATGTACGTAATTTAAGAATTATTTACACTTTAATTTATAAATAAGAAAGATTTACACTTTATAAAAAAGAAATATCTCCACTTACTGTACCTTGGAGATGCTGGCATTGGTTTAGGGTGGTAGAAGATAGGCAGGGTGGTGATGTTGTCAGTACTTCTAATAACATTGGAGGAGTTAAGTTTCGTGTCGTCTTTTTATATCACTTAATCAGTTAACTTACTTGCTACACTTTTAATGCTACACTTTATCACTGGCTGGCGCTATAGCCTTTATTAACTCCAGCTGCTTTAGTATTGTACATATCATAGAATCACTGAAGAAGGCACATTCTTCCCTCTCTCTTCCTCCTTCACTCTCATACTTTTCAACAACTTCTTTCTTAAATTCCATTGTGTTTCTCACTTACTTTACCAAAGGAACTTTACTAGGAACTTTATTTGGGCCCATGGTTGCTTATTTTGCATTTACACTCAATCAGTAATCACAAAAAACAACGGATTATAACGATATTTTTGGGTAAATGAGCAGAAGCTTCCTCGCTCGCCCAGAGACACAGCCAGACTGATGCGTGCGGCTGGCGGCAGCGGGTTGACACGTCCTAAATGGCCAATAAGCGAAATAAGGGCCGATAACCGAAAGCTGAAAAACCAGCCGATAAGCGGAACAGCTAATAACCGAGGGTCCACTGTACCTGACAAAGCAGGAGAATAATATTGTTCCAGAGTAAGCCAGGAAATCTTGAGTTAACTTGCCAATATTTAACCTGTGAAATACCACAGAAATGACAGTTAGGCTTTGGAATGTTGTACAGCTACCAATTATGTGTTATACTTTTTTCAGTTGGATACTTGACCTGTTACTTTTCTTTTGAAAATATATCTGACTGCTTGTACTCTGTAAAACAGGTTTTTAATGCTCTTAAATAATTACAGGATCTTGTATTCTTGTATGTGGTGATGACAAGGGAGCATTATGGGTGTATGACGTTGCTGACTACGTCACTGGTAAAATCAAGAATCCACTCAGTGAGGGGCCACAGTTATCAGCAGCAGTTGAACCAGTGAGAATATTGGAGTGGCCAGAGCTAGAAGATGCAGAGGTGGGTTGTGATTTGGTCAGTGATAAAAATCATTTTATTTTTCTTTCCCATGCTTGGTGTTAGCCTGTCATTAAAGCGAATGTGGCATTGCCTTAAATATATAAGCTTTGCACGGGCTTTCAGCAGTGTAGGGTGAAACAATGCAGACTCTTACCCTTCATGCATTCTTAGTTTAAATGACTTGGTTCTCATGCTGTTGTTTTCCTCGTTATTCTCTTTTCTTGCCACTTGCTCCCCATGCTACTAATATAACTAACTCTTAAAGGAAGGTTTATTTGGCATCCATGCATTGTCTTGCTGGTTCAGTTTCATCTCGCATGAAGTCATGTTTACACAGTTTATATTCATTCCATTGTGAAAGCTCAAGGTGCATAGATCTTTACTTCATCTTAGAAATAAATCACAGTTGACATTTGCAATGCCTTGTAGAATTTGTACCTCACATATTGTTTGGTCTGAGAGTCTTGTTAATAATCATGAAAGCATAAGCACTAAAGCAATCAATTTTCTAAAGGGTATTGCTTATTGTTAATTGTGTACCCTGGGATTTGCTTTCATCTGTGAATAGTTTTGCAAAAGTCTTTAGCTGCTGAAATGAGAGATTCAGTTAACAAATGCTCATGGTGAATTTCCTCTTGTCTGTAATTATAAATTGCATCCTGATGTTGTTTCAACTCCCAGAATATCATGTGTCTTGTCTTCAGATGTTGAAAATATTTGGTTTCAGAAATCTCATTCTATGATGGCTAGAGTTTCTTAATTTCATGAAAACTTAGAATTATAGATTTGTATATTATATATTAATTATCTGGAGACCCAAATATTTCACATTTCAAATATTGTATTTCTCTCGGTTTTAAGGTTACTTGTTAATACATTTTACCTCAGTGATGTGTCACATTTTTAAACTTGTTCTCCTAACATTAATTTGTCCATTCTAAAACTTTATTTTTAACCAATTACTAGAAAGGCTGATCCTGTCTGTAAGGCACAATCTCCATCAGAATATTCCTGTAGGAGGTGATTGGCGAGTGACCTCGGTGCTCACTGGCAACACTACTGTGAGGGAGGTAAAATGGGTACCACCTCTTCCCTATTTATGGCTTCTTTGGTTATATGCACCACAGTGCAGTACTGGGATTTGTTCCATTATCTATACCTTGGACACTGCAGTTTCAATAAATATTGTTTTTCATTTTTCTTGCTCTTTGGTTTCTTGTCAGTTCTTTTTTTATTATACTTTATAACTGTTCCAAATAGACAGTAGCCAACACAGCATGCTGAATCCACTGCAAGCAAACTGGTAATATACATGAATGGGATAAGGAGGCTATGTTGTGCCCTATGCACACCATTGCTCATGTATAAGAAAGTACATACAGCAGGTAAGCATGAAAATATGAAAACTTATGGTGTGAAAATGAGAAGGCCAAGAAGATAGTCAGATATAGTGATTAAGTGAGAGAATTTGTCTTGAACATCAAAACAAGTAGTGACATGGAACAAGACTGAGTCCAAGCAGTTTTTAGGAGGCAGTTCAATATTGATGTTTTGTACACCAAACCCATACATAGGAGACAGGAACTCATGTGTCACCAGAACTTATGTGGACCAAAATGTCGTCATAAGTTGTGGGTTATTTGTGTATTGGTCCAGTCATGGTATTGTGCCTTTTAATTCTTTATTGATGTTTTCTCTTTGATAAAACTAACAGATCATTTTACAGGTTTTTCAGATATACTAACTGGGGTCTGTGAATGACAGTCCATTGCCCTAACCACTGGGCCAGCACCACCTTAGCGGTATACTCTTCAAGCTATCATACACTGGAGAGTTGCAGAGGCCATCAAGTGTGACCCAAGTGCCATTTTTACAGAGAACATCCCACAGTGGTGCATCCCATGCAGAATCGAGCTTTCCCTGTTTTGTCATCTGTGAACTATGATGCTTGGAACAATCCACTGGTTTTTCAGAGGTTTGAATTGAGGCCAGTGAAAACCTGTGGATTGCTACAGGCATCTGTTATGTTCACTTGGTTCCTAGCAGAACATGTTCAAACTGATGCTCTTATAACCAACAGAATTATTTCTTCTTTAGTACAGCTGGGTGGTGCTGGTTCTCTGTGATGCAGCTAGTGAAAATTAGTGGGGCTTTATTTTTTTTTCTCAGTTATGCTCTTACCATCTTTCAGAAAATTCTGACCCCCATCCTTAGAAATGCAAAATGTGGTGTATGGTAATACAATGGTAGACTATACCAACAATATGTAAACAAGACACAAAAGGGGTAAGGACATTTTATTGTGAAGATGCTTCTGCAGATTAAACTTCTTCACAAAAATGTGCCATGACTTGCATTGTGCTGTATTTGCATACATGATAATGTATTTTTAAAGTAGCCATTTCAAAGTGTCCCAGAAATTACTCCTCTGGTGTTAAACTTTCCATTACACTTATTCAGAATCCATTAATACAAATCAGTCACAAGAACTTTATTGATCTTACCCTTCTGAATGCTTTTACATTTACTTATTGTAGAATAGGCAGTTTGATCTTTAACATATATAAACCAGCAGATGGAGGATCAAGCCTCCACTACGTTGTGTGCTGAATGACCCACATGGGTTCAGCACTTAACATTAAACAAGCATCATGATGTTTCTGCAAGGAGTAACATGACTGTAACAAACTTTTGCTACAGTAGACAGCAGGAAGTATATACATTGCCTTGAAAATTACTGTATATGCATATCATATCAATTTTTACTCTCTTTGGGGAAGGGGGGAGGTAGGATGCATAGTAAATAAAAACAGTTCATAATTTATCTAATAAACTGTCCTCAGGGTGTTCTAGGTATATATTAACATAACAGAATTTTATATACATGTATGTATTTGTTGAAAGTATATTCAGTAAAAATTTGATTTACTGGACCTCTATTTAACAGATTTCAAAAATAATGGACAAAGTCTGTTAGGTACAAAATGAGTGAATGACAGTGGGACTTGCATAACATGGACCAGCAGTTCTACTGTAGTGCTTCTTTGTAAAAAGTCTGGTTCAGCAATAGGGTTGCCAATGAGTGGAACAAACTACCAAATAGTCATTGTAACTAATAGCTTGGGTAGCTTTAAAATGGGTTGGACATGTATATGAGTGAAGAGCAAAAAGGTACAATACCATGACTTAACAATACACAAATATCCTTCACATAGGAGAGAAAAGCTTAGGATGACATTTCAGTTCTACTTGAACCAAAATGTTGTAAATGGTCCAAGTCTGACCAAAACATTGTTGGAAGCTTCTCTCTCCTATGTGCAGGTTATCTGAGAAGGGTTGAGTTTGAGTTTGAAAAGAACCTGTCTAGCATGGGCTAGTGGGCTTGCTGCAGTGTTGCATTGTTCTTATGTTATTTAAGAATGCAATAGTTTAACAACAGAGCTGTTTATAAGTGGCTGAGAGTGTGGCCTACATAGCAGTAGGCCTACTGCAGTTCACCTTCATAAAAACATAAGAATTCTAGCCCATACTGGGCATGTCTTTCTCAAACCCAACCATTCCCACTTACATATTTATCCAACCCATTCCCAAAGCTATATAAGAAATTAGCTTCAAAACCTCAGGTCCTAATCAAACCCAGTCCTTCTTGCTCATATATTTGTCTAACTTATTTTTAAAGTTCCCGAGGTTTTGGTTTCTATGATCCTACGTGGCAGATTGGTCCACTCATCGAGAACTGTTCATAAACTAGTACTTTCCTATTTTTTTTTTTTTTCAACATGTTGGCAGGGTGACCCAAAAACGAAACACTTTCACCACCATTCACACATAATCACTGTCTTTGCAAAGGTACACAGATAAGACAGTTCAGATGTCACTCCAAAACAGCAAATAGCCCAAACCCCTCCTTTAAAGTGTAGGCATTGTACTGTACTTTCCACTTCCAGGACTCAGGTCCGACTAACCGGTTTCCTTGAATCCCTTTATAAAATATTACCCTGCTCACACTCCAACAGCTCATCAAGTCCCAAAAACCATTCGTCTCCACTCACTCCTATCTAACTTGCTTACACATGCCTGCTGTATGTCCCAACCCCTTACATACAAAATCTCTTTTTACCCCCTCCCTTCTATGTCCTTTCTAAATCTAAATTTATCTAATTTAAATCTTTCCTTTTGAATTCTTTCTTGATTCAATATCCCTATTACTTTATTTATATTGCCTTTGTTTATACTTGTTTTCCACTTATATACCTCAGCAATATCTCGCCTCATTTTACATTTCTGTAAAAAGAGAATAGGTTCAGGGCTCTCCATCTATCCTCATATGAGAGATTCCATTTACAATGGATTAATTTTGTCATCGTTCTCTGTATATTCTCTGATGCATTTATATCCATTCTGTAGTACAGTGACCAGAACAGCGCTGCATAATCTAAATGAGGCCTTACCAGTGATGTATAGAGTTGTAAAATAACTTGGACTCCTGTTGTTTTACTTCTTGTTATAAATCCAAGTAATCTGTTACTTATTGTGCACACTTAGGCACTGTTGTCTTGGCTTTAGATGTCTCCTTATCATGGCTCCCAAGTCTTTTTCACAGTCTGTATGATTGAACACTACATCACCTAGTTTATAATATTGAGGGTTATTTTCATTCCCAAAGATTATGACTACACTTGTCCACATTGAATTGAATCTGCCACTTTTCAGACCCTGACATTAATTTGTCCAAGTCTTCCTGAAGTTCAGTGGCATCCTCCTCAGAATCTATTATTCGGCCTATTTTTGTCTCAGCAGCACATTTACTCCTGTCGCTTATAATTCCTTTGTCAAGGTCATTGAAGTAAGTTACAAACAACAGTGAGCCTAAAACTAATCCTTGTGAAATGCCACTTGTGACTGATCCCCTTTCAGATTTCACCCCATTTATGTAAACTCTGCCTTCTATTGGTGAGCCATTCCCTGATACTTGTTAGAACTTCACCTCCGATACCATG